TACTGATAGTTCTTTTTAATAAGTATTTTGTTTCATCTTCATTTGTATTAGAGTGGTCGAACTTTTCTGCATCACTTTCATTATGTGATCTGGATGAAGGATCTGCAATTTCCATCTGTAAATTGAAAATGAAATAAATCAAAGTACCAATCATTTGATTTCTGATGATATTGAGGATTAACACAAATCTTGGTCAGAAATCAGCAATGTTTTTATTAGATTTATGTCAAGGTTGCAAATTATGAAGTTGTTGATTTTTCATAGACATATCCCATTCGATGGTTTTCTATAGGAAATACTGTATACAGGGTTATTTTCGCCCCGTGTTATTTTCGCCCTTTCACGCTTGCAAACAATTTTACCCAGTTTTAAATTCGCCCATTCATAGTTTTGTTTAAGAAATTATACTTAATTGTTTCAATTCGCCCAATTGAGAGTACAGGGCAAAAGGGGCGAAAATAAAACGGGGGCGAAAATTTCCCTGTATACAGTAGTAGTAGAACAAAATATTTGAAGTAAACTATTGCAGGCACTCTTCAGCATTGGAGATTGAAACAAATGGAATACATTCATTTATTACATTTTCAACAGTAAAATACTGTATTTTATTCATTGAATAAAAATGATATCCTGTCACAGTGTGACAAATGTCAGAAGTGTGGTTAAACTCTCAATTTTGCTTCCCATAACAGAGAGTCAGAGTGTGGTTAAAAAAGTCTGCCTTGACTTGATATTACTAAATAGATAGATTGAAGTAAATAAACCATTCTGACAGAAAATAAAACTGCCAATTTTACCTCAAAAATGTTGCTAAGATCCATGTTTACAATGTTTTCACTTCACTTATAGCCATGACGTCCTAACCGCTCAATTATGACGTCATGCAGCCCATGACTGTATTATGTACAGGAAGAGAGAGACAAAGAAAATCAAAGAAAATTTAATAAACAGAAAATTCAATGTTTTGTCATTGAATATGGAATTTATTTCACTCGTGAAACAGGATTTTCTGATATTTTCACTCATGCTTAGCACTCGTAAAAAAATTAAAAAAAAAATCCTGTCCCACTCATGAAATAAATTGCATATTCAGCAAGAAAACATTGAATATCCTCTTACCTCTATGTATTTTTATTTAATTTTAACACCCCCGCAGTCACGCATTTTAACGCATATAGCATTTCCTATTTCTAACGCAAAATCACGCATTTACCGTTTCCCTGCAATCACGCATTTTCACGCACTTTAAAAAGTTCATGTTATCTTCAATTTATTGCCAAATTACAACTATTTTATACTTGCTTGAATCTCATAAAATAAGAAAAGTTATTTTCTAATTAAAATATTATTTCAAAATATTATTTACCCTAAACTTTAGAGAAATTTGTACCCCGCTATAAAGTGCTTGCAGGGAAATGGTAAAGTAATATTTCTATGACGCGAGGATTCAATGTATGTTGCATAGCAATACTTAGTATCGCGATTACCTCACGGTTATCTAACTTACTGGAGCTCTTTTGCGAGAAAGTCGAGAAAGTTTTTAATCTCGCGAGATTTCCGGGGCATAAGTTTGTTTACACTAGAGACGAATCCAAGGTGAAATAAGCAGCATGCCTAAAGTTCATTGTATAGCTGAGGGGTGCTCCTCTGATAACAGGACGGCTAAATCTAAACATTTATCATTTCATCCCATCCCAAAAGTAGCGAGTTTTAGAAAGAAATGGCTTGATTTAATCAGAAGGGACGGCCTAGAAGAAAAGATAAACATAAGTGTTAAACAAAACCCTATTTGCGACTTGAGGCACTTAGTTGTTTGTTCAGATCATTTTGTGGATGGTAGACCGACTCCTGAAAACCCGTACCCAACACTTTTCAGATATAACAACTATAAGCGTTCAAAAACTACACGCAAAACAAATAACTCTGCATGCATCCCCACCAAAATCACTAGGTATAGTCCTAACATTAATCAGGTTTTGCACGCAGGAGAACCTCTGGCTGACATCACACCAGCTGTAAATATCAAACTTGTAAAGCAGGATGCCTTTGTAAAATCCAATGTCTGTTACCCATATGTAGCAGGCGAGGTGGAATTACAGTCAGAGAGTTTGAGCCCAGTGCCCATGATAGTACAGTGGACCTTCATTTATCCGGACGCTTTGGTTCCCTGTCAATATGTCCGGATATGTGAAGCATCCGGATATCTGAATCACCACTTAAATAAGACAAAATAACATTTAAAAATTTCGTTCCGTTGAAAGATCGTCCGGATACTGAAGCATCCGGATATCTGGCGTCCGGATATCTGAGGGTCCACTGTAATTGAAAAACAAGGTAAAAAAATAAAATGAATTTGTTCATTATTAAAACCTATAATTACTAAGTTAATTTTTTGGTTTGTTTGAGTCAACTGTAAATAATTCCATATGGTTCTTTTGCATTAGTAATTTTAGAAAATATACCACTTGACCATTGCTATTCGTCAAATGGGTATAGAGATGTTGACAAAAAATACAAATGTATGGAAGAAAAAATTGAACTTCTTAAAAACAAAAATGATCTTTTGGAGGTACAAACATGTTGTTTAATTTGGTTCATATTTTGGTTTGGTATTTTGTTCTTTTATGAGAAAGAGTTATCTAAGTTACTCTTAATTCCCCTTTGAGTTTTTTTGGAAGATATATCTATATTTACTTCTTTATTGATTTATTGTTATCATCTGTTAATTAAATATTTTGTTTATTTTATTTTCAATAAATACCCTCCATAATTTCCAAAAAAAACTTGTATAATCTATTTCATCAAATCAATACAGTAAAACCATATTAATTTTTTCTATAAACTTAGCAGACTTAATATGCAAAGGTAACATTATATATTTTATATCATTTTATCTATAAATTTATATGATTAAATGCTATAATTTTATTAAAAAATGAATGTATATGCCTCGAACTAAATCAAACTGCAATTCTTTCAGTCAAACTGTACTAGATTGACCAAAGAAAACAAAAATCTGAAAGAGGAAAATCTGTCACTAAAGAAGCAACTTGAGCACAATGCAGAGAATCTAAGAAACATGTTAACTTCCAAAATAACTGAATCAGACAAAACAGTTAAACATTTTCTTGGACTTCCATCATTGGCTTTCCTACTAGGATTTATTAACACTGTGTCTTTGCTCTTCAAAAATGTCAACTCCTGGAAAGGTTCAAGAAAAGGTGGTGAAAAGGTGTGGCAAACCGAGAAACGCCGAAAACCAGGAAAGAAAAGAAAACTTAGTCTTAAGGAGGAGTTTATAATTATTATGCTGAAACTTAGACTTGGATTAGACAACATAACTCTATCAACTCTGTTTGGTGTCTCACTCAGTCAAATATCAAATATGTTCACTACTTGGATAAATTTTTTATATCAATATCTTGAGCCAGTTCTTAAATGGCCATCAAATGAAAAGATAAGAAAACATTTGCCATTAAGTTTTAAACTAAAATATCCTGGAACAACGTCAATTATTGACTGTACTGAAATTTTCATACAAAAACCGAGAAATCCTAGTGCTCAAGCTGCAACTTGGAGCAACTACAAGAGTCATAACACTTTGAAAGCCTTAGTTGCCATACAACCTAATGGTGCATTTACTTTTGTCTCGAATCTTTGGTCGGGTAATATATCTGATCGTAAAATTACAGAACTTAGTGGATACTTGGACAAATTACAATATGGCGATGAAATCATGGCAGATCGTGGTTTTCAAATTCGAGACCTAGCGATTCAAAAGGGAGCGAAGTTGAACATGCCTCCATTTACAAGAATTTCTAACAGAAGCATAAAAGGAAGAGTTCTGACATCCAAAGAAATTCAGGAAACACGAAAAATTGCATCAGTTAGAATTCACGTCGAGAGGGCGATTCGAAGATTAAAATCCTTTAAACTACTAGGACAAATTCTTCCACTTAAACTTAAAAACATTTCATCTCAGATGCTCAGAGTAGCTGCTGCTTTTTGTAACTTTTTACCCCCTCTCGTGAGAAAGTACAAAGCTTGAATAAAATGTTTATAAAGGAGATACATGTAGCTAGCCCACAGATAACCATGTTTGCTATACTAACTTATCATGTTTTACTGTTTGAACATAGGGTATTACTGTTAATGTTGTATGTAAAAGAAATATAATTCATGATTGTTTGTTTTTATTCATTGTCACTTCTGCATACTGACAGGATGACATAACAAATCTATGTTCAAAACTTAGATAATCACATACCAGTACATGTGCACTTAGTTGGATAAAATGGAAGGTAGTATATAACTTTCATAAAAATTTTTAAGCTTTAATACAACATTGTTCCATAATGCTTCATTGAAAAAAGCTCTTTCAACATAAATGCCCTTGGTAGTGTACAGTACAAGATCACAATATGGTGCCTTACAGATCCCCATTTGTCCTAACATTTGAATGTAGTATGGGGAATTTACATTCTGTATCAGTTCCATTTTTCCATTTGATTCACGAAATGAGGGAAGTTTAGTCAGAGCTTCCTCAGGTGTCAAATCTCGCATTGAAAATGGACATTTAATTTCGAGTACACCTTGCTGACAACATTTACACTTCACAAGTCCATCGGGGGATGCTCCTAAATAAGGGAACTGTGGATTTAAGTGAAGTCCTGTTTCTTCACATAAAAAAGATGTGTGCAGATTGAACATCTTATCGACATACTGAGTTCTGGCAATGGCCTCCTTCTCGATGCCATATTGAGTTGCCTTGGTAGTAAAGTCTCCATACTTCCCAAGGCAGGATTTTACAATGCTGTTGTTTTCTTTACCTCCTTTATAATGGTAAGCTTTGTAAAACATAGATGCAGTGAGTCGCCCAAGTCTTTGATACTTCCACATTTGATTACTACTTTGACCGAACGTGCCTTCTCTGATTTGATCCTTATATTTATGTGTATATTCGCAAAGACTACTGTATCCAGAATCTCTAATCAAATCGACTATGTTTTTAAAATTATCTCTTTGAATTCGATGTCCTCTAAATCTGAATCTGAATCAGATAACGTGTATAAGGCAACACCAGGAACTTTACAGTTTTTCAAAAGTTTCACCATGTCTTTTTCAATCCTTTTTTTATCAAGTTGATCCTCTGGAATTGGAAAGTATCCATCCTGATGTGTAGGCCCATCAGAGCGTGCTGTAGTGACATCAGCTCTGCAAAAGAATTATTACATGTAGTTATTGAATATACATGTACGCATTTAACATGGCTATTTAATACACTTATACACAATTATTTTATAAGGATGCTTTCATTGAAATTTAAACATCTGACTTAAAAGACCCAACCCTACACCTATTTTTACAATTTTCTCTAGTACATATATATCATATTCCCTTGTAAAAAAAAATCTCTTATTACAAAAATTTGTCAAAATTAATCATCAATTTTAAAAAATTTAAATATTTTAAACCATGTAATGATGTCTTATTTAAATACTTGTAATAAATATTAAAAGTCATATATTATTGCTGTACCTAATATCTAAATCTTCTACAGCCACTGGCTTGCAAATGCGTTTTGGAGCCGTCCAGTAAGCTGGTACATCAGTAACCGATGGACCAGCACTGTCATGAAGATCGGTGCTGAAGGCCAAAATTCCAAAAAGTGCAGCTGCAACATGTTTACATGATCCATCACCCCTGAAATAACATTATCAGAATAAAAACATTTCTTTCAATTAACTTTAAAAAAAATTGCAGAGTTATTATCAGACATTGAGATAGGCAGAAACAATATTTGGCTTGGACATTATGAAAACATTAAATTGAAATTTTTTTTTTTATTATTGTTTATAGTACATAGATGAACAATTCCATGCTCACGACTTTTGTCTATTTCTAAAATAAAAATTGCGAAAAACTGCCTATAAATATCTTTATCAAACTATTTTGCATATCTTGATAAAATTTTTTTTAAAAATGTCATCATAGTTTCATGCCCAAAGCTTATTAGTAGTTTTTATCATGTATCAACTTTATGTCATCCCTATGACACTCTTGAAATATTAAATATCATTTATTTCATTGCATTTCTATGCTTATTTGGTATTTGCTTATTCCAACATATTTATAGTAAAATTAATATATGCATGTACTGGACCTTCAGAGTTTTTATTATATTGATTTGAATTTACTGAACTACCTTGTTTTGTGAAGATTTAAAAAAAATGTAATCTGAAACTTACGCTATACATTTGCATTCCGCTGAGAAAATTTGGCCTGATTTATTCAATAGTACCCACAGCTTATAGGGGTCCCCAGACTGCCGCGTTTCAGGCACACATCTGGCACGCATATACAACATGTCATTTTCTGAAAAGAAAAATTTTAAATTTAATTAATTTATTTTTTTAACAATAAATTTAACCATAAATCCAATCATATACAGAAGTTCCAAGAAAGAAAAAATGTGGGTTTTTTTTTTTAATTTGCAAAATATTTCAGGGGGTGTTGACATGAACCTGCAAAGCACAGGTACTTGGGTCTTGGTTTATAAATATGTATGAAATTATTGATATGTGTAAAAAAAAAAGGGACTTTCTTTTACATATCAGAAAGGTTCAATGGTTCATAGATATTTATAAACTGTCCAAGACCCAAGTACCTTTGATGAGAAGGAATGTTTTTAAATTCATAGTCATAAAAAGTAAAAGTTTTACAAAATTTAAAAGGCCAGACTGACAATCTTGATCAATGACCATTAAGTAGGTACATATTGAACATACCCAGATTACAAAGTTCAACACCATGTATATGTCCATTTGAAAATAGTTTGAAACTATTCTCTTTCTTTCTGTTGTTAAAACGTTCTTTAGTCCAACCGGACTCGGTGCAAAGATAATGCTGAATATCAAATATATCGATTAATGGAACAGTAATCAAGTTTGAAGACCACGTAAGGGATGTATTCTCTGGGCTGGAGTATACAACGCCACCCACAGTCCTACGCTGAATATTCCTAGTGATGTAGTCATCTTCGCTTTTCGGTGCAATATTTAAGCGTAGTTTGATGGCACAGGAGTACCGACTCCTCTTTGGTCTTAGTTCTATGGTTAACCGATGTTCGGCAAAGAATTTCTGTAAGGCTTCCTTTTTTACTGTCCGTAAAAAAGGTATAGTAACTAGATCTCGCGGTGTATTCAAAAACGCTGAATAGAGTAATATGCAGACATGGTCCCCAGATCACTGACGTTTCCTATCTCCAACGCGCAAGAGTTCCGCTAAGTTGAGTAATCGCGATATCAAGTATTCTGTAAGTTGTAAAGAGTTAAAGGTAAGAAACGAAAGTTTTATAGTGATAGAGACTTAATTAAAAAGATGTCCAAAGGAAAAAGTTGAAGCAGGCAGCCAATTCATTTCTGCCGTATACATTTACACAAACAGTCGAAGTGGGGGCAGGAAAACCCGAATCAGTTTTGTTACATCGATCTGAGATGTAGAGGGACACCAGACCAAAATTTTTAGTCCCTACGACATATCACATAAATTATTAATACTTGGCACCATTGTCTTCACCAAATGGCCCTGAAGTTGTTTTACCTTCCAAAGTTTCTGTTGTTGATCTTTTTCATTTACAGTGTCAGAGAATCACACAGATTGCGAAATATCTCTCTGTGATCTCACTGTTCTGTTTACAATGAAGACAAGTCAGTTGTACAAATGCTACAAATTACACATTCATCCCAACGACAAAAATTATAAGTATTTAAAAGCTCACGCGTGGATCAGGGGGGGGGGGGGGGGTCTGCAATGGGGTCCGGACCACCCTGGAATTTGCAAGGTTATTAAATTGATATACTAAAGCAAGTAAAAGGTGACTTCGGACCGCTCCTGGAAAACCCAGACATCCATGCAAAATGCGGATTTGTGTTAAATTGGTATGAAAAGATGATTAATTCTCCACCCCCACGAAAGAGATTTTTGACGTTTTTTTTATTTTTTTGCTTGTCAAGAAATTTCTGGTTTGCAATTTTTTTTTTTGGACTGTGGTGGACCCCCCCCCCTGATAAAATTCCTGGATCCGCGCCTGAAGTTTCTCGGAATGTTAAGACTGTCTTTGATTTGTGTTGGTTTTTCTAAAGCAATACATTGTGCTGGACCAAATATGTATCTACATCAAGAAATTGTACTGGACCAGATACATGTAAATCGATCAACATGATCAAGAGACTGAGATTGTGTCATTCCTGCTGATACAACTCAGCTGCTACTTGTACCATGATGTAAAAGTATTAAAATTATAATATAAACATTAACCTCCTTGATGCACATCACATTAAAATGATAAATTGATAAATCAACTCGTGCGGCTGTGCATGTGGTTTCAGATTTGTCTTTGTTTACACTCTGTACATCGGGATGTCGATCCCGATCTCTATAGTCAAATATAATAATCAAAGTACTGAAAATACTGAGTGTGACCAACTAAAAAAAAAAAAAAAAAAAAAAAATTGAGGAAAAGGAAAAGGAAAAAATGAATACAGCAGGAGGAAATATCATCATTGTAATTCGGTTATAGCGAACGAAGCGAAGCGAGCTCAACAGACTAACATGTAAGAACAGAGGAAGTTCGGAATGAAATCTGTACGTACATGTACGTCAGGCAAATTTTTATGTGAAACATTCCCAGAATTCCTTTACTACCCAATGTCCTTTGAACGAATGAATAAATAAATGATAACGTAAAGCATAAAAAGGCTTTCAGTTTGTAGAAATCTTTCAAAAAAAAAAAAAAACAAACAAACAAACAAACAAACTCTGCAATGTTTTTCGATCAAAATTGCACTAGGTCTATAGTTTCAACCAGATACTTGGCTGTCTCCGTAAGCTCCGACGAGCTCCGTGCACAGCTAGTCGAGATGTCTCGTACGGCTTGATTTTTGAAGTGGCTGATCAATTTTTCAAGTGTTTTTGAAGGGAACAACTGCGCTCGCCCGAACAGTCACACCGTAGAACATATTATAATACACAGCTATACACATAATGTTCGAATTTCTGAGAGTGTTTCAAAACTGCACAATAACTACAAGTAACTTAGAAGGAGAGGGTGCGGGGATTGATCGCACCATTTCCCCGCGATAAAAGGAATCTGCAAAATGCTTTTCTGAGTCATAATGACCTTCCAAAAAAAATTTCCATCCTAATTCTTGGTCAGAATTTTAATTTTCTGTTGTCAAATCCTAGATTATACTTAAATTTCACTTAGAATGAAGTCCTTCGGTCACCATATGGAGAAATGATTTGCAGTTTATTCATGAGATCGATTCCACGTGATTTACTTCTCATTAATATTCATAAGATTCTGCATACTAGTGAACTAAAAATATTCTATTTTTATTTTTGCAGACCCTGTTGCCCAGTTTGTTTTTTCTTTTTTTCTTCGTTATAATAATCACTTTGTGTGATTAACAACTGATAACTCACGATACCGTGTTTTTGATACTTTTCAAATTACAAAGACGGACATAACTCCTCATGAACTGATAAATCATCTGTATTTTGTAAAAATAAACAATCATCTGAACCTATTAATCAATGGAAGAACTCTGTCAAATTGTGCAACACTTAAATGTATGTTTCATCGCCAAAATGATTAATACGCCAGTTCTGAATTCTTTCTTTCTTTCAATAAAACAATTTACTAAAGCTTTGAATTTTCAAGTCAAAAAGGCGGTCACAATTTTCACTTTAGCATCAGCAATATTACTAGTATTATTACCAGAAAATCTCTCGCCATAAGACGTTTAACGCTCCTCTTCGAGTAATTAATATAAAGCCTGCGAAGCACACTCTCTGACCAGTATGAAAGTGGTTTTTTGTTGGTATACTAGTTGATGATATTAAGATAACTCAAAACATCGGCTTACGTACTTTTTCCGAAATAGGTAGTATATAATAAATGCCATTTTCTGTATTTTCTCAAAATAAACCTTAAGGTTCATAAACCCTCTGCTCACTCATATGTTTATTTATATTTTAAGATTTTGCAAAGGAAATGTATATGCTGAATAAAATACAAACAATTATAGCATATATGACAAATTTATAAAGGAATAATAGCCTTTTGTGTCATTAAGAGTTTTCTCTCTCATCAGAGTATCAATGTTCCTTAATGGAATCTGTCGCATTTGAAACTACAATATGACCAACATGTAAATGAGCAGAACGAACACCATTTCTCCATATGTATTCTTAAACAACTGCTTGCTCGTGTATGCATGAAATTCTCAAATTTTCGCGTGTCTTGTGCTCTGTCATCAACTTGAATACTGAGTACTTTGTTAAAAGATCACCATGCTTTTATAAAAAATTATTATGAAGTCAAAGTTGAAAGGATGCTGGATTTTTATTTGCACAACAATTATGTAAACACAAGGTATATATTCTAACAAAGTAAAAAATTAATTGTCGCAATCTCAATTGGCGCTAGATGTATTCATTGTTAGCTGATTTTTTTGCTACATGGAAAGGAAAATATACAAACAACACTTGTTGTGGTTTTCAGTTCGATATTAATTAGCTATATTGAAGATTTCAGCTCGATATTAGATATATTGAAGATTTATTGTTAATAAACAATTGTTACGTTCATCCATATGCCCATTCCATATATACTAGCGCACTTTAGATTTAATATACCACAAAGTCTGACTGATCTGTTACATATTTTGACATTTTACTACAGGAAGACGTTAATGTTAAACTAACAACAAAGCTTAGATTATAAAAGTGAAGCCTTTATTTATCAATCATCAGCTTCTCATTTTTTTAATGTAGCATTGAGCTAAATTGTCTTTGGATTTTTGACATTGGAGCCAAAATACTAGTCGTTATCACCATTATATTTTATCAATTAACATTAGTTAATTCCATTCAAATGTTGACTTTATATAAACTAGTCATTCTGAAATAAAAGACACCACGTGTACTCAGACTCTGACAAACGAGATTACTTAGCTTTTCAATCATCAAATTTCTTTAGTTTTGTTGTACAAAGGATTTCCCATTTTTAACTGCAAATGGTGTACTCAGCCCCAAAATTATTCAATACTCAAGAGCATGCCCGTACGGCTGTTTATAGGTTCGGTTGTTTATTAAATTTTTCAACTTTTATGATTTTCCAAAGAAAATGCATATACTGAATAAAATACAAATATATTTGACGTTTGACAAAAAAGATTAACTTGACAAATTTATAAAGGAATAATAAAAATATGTGTCATTAAGAGTCATCTCTCTTATCAGAGTATCAAAGTACCTTAAACCGAGATAAGCTACTGACAAATAAATTGACGTGACAAGGATTAAACTTAAACTTTATTGATGTCAACATTTCATAAATTCGATGGTCCTCATAATTATCACATTGGCAACCATAAGATGTCACCAAGTCGAATTTATTTCATACCAAATGTTAGGCATTTGTATACATACTAAAGTTGACTATGGGGTGGTCCGTCTACACATGATAAAAACCGTAGATGTGGAACTAAAACCACTGTGAAAGGTAACTTTCAAACAAAACGTTAGACAAGTGAACTTAAGAGACGTCTACAGTACATTGCACTCATGGCGAGTGTGAATGGTAACCTTAAAATGCTTGCTCCTTCTGGGCACTTGATCTCACCTCTTAAATTTCCATTGCTTGTAGGTTTTCCGAGATCAATTATTGTACTATTCGGAAGTTAATCACTATTTGTTATGTTCGTTTCCTATTTCAGGACAATGGTGAAAAAATGTTTTTGATCACGTTCTGTTTTTCTCGTGATTTTTTAACGTTCCCCTTTGAAAGGAATACGATGCTCATTAGAAATTTAACATAATTGAATCCGTTCAACTCTTAAAAGCTTGTTGATAAATTTGGTAAAATAATAATACTTTTTCGGGGGGGGGAAAAGTCGAAACTTTAAAATAAAAAGGCATTTAAAGTTTCAGAAAATGTTAGAGAAGGACTATTAATTTGTTTTCCAATCAAGCAATCATTTATTTGAATATCTTCACCATTTTACAACAGTATACAGAGACTGCAAGGACATATAGGTAATTTTATACATAACATAAGGCATGCGTGAATAAAAAAAACTAAACAAAAAATTGTTCGTTGCTGTTAATGTGAAGCAGGGCAATTTTAGGCCGGGGAGTATATTTTATTCTTTTACTTTTTTTTTTCCAAAATAACATAACAACCATGAACATACGAGTATTGACAAAATGAAAAACAGCATTTTCCATTATTTCCTACTTATTAAAGAAAAAGCAAATTGATCAGGGAAAAAACTTTAAATTAACATTAGTTATTCGGAATTTATATTCTCTCGAGAAGTCTGATGAAAATTGATATTTACTCATTTCATATCAGTCATAACAACTCGCAATGTAATAATTCAATTAAATCCTTTGAGGTTTGAATGTCAACGTCATGTTGTCTTGTTATAACCCTCAATTGCTTCATATAGTTGTGTATTTGATACAAATTGATGTTAATATATAACCGTAAGGCGCAAAGGGGACTTCATTGTCAAACACCATCGTCTTAATTAAATAAATCGTACGAAATAAATTGTTCTTTTACGAGTTCTTGTGTAATTATATAACCGAAGGTTATAAAAGGCAGCATATGACGTAAACTTAGCGGTTAACGATATCATGCGATTGTTTTGATCTATAAGCATAGGTAGGTATTGCAGTGGAAATTCTGTCATATGTAAAGGACTTGCAAGTTTATAAATTATAAATTAGGACGGGTTTGTCAAGCGGTACGGAATGTCACGGAGATCAAATTAACGGGTTCAACTGACGTTTTAATAACCGACCTTATCCTGTGATCATACTTGACCTTGCACTAGGTGTGAAAAGTTAATGACTCTCTCTCTCTCTCTCTTTCCTAGTTATTAAAAAGAGAGGCCATATACATATATATTTTGTATGCAGAAATGCAACAAGTATTAAATTAAGCATAAATGCACATTCAAGTCAGTGTTGGCATAAGTAATATTTTTCTTACATATTCTTTTTATATATATATATATTTAAATATTTTTATATAGTTAATAATGATTTTACAATAGAACAAAAATATAACAATGAAAAATGTTAATATTTCTTATTTAACCAACATCTTTTCCTTTAATGAATAATGCTGACACTTTTGCAAGAAGAATTTAGATGTACTGCACAGTTTGTAGTTTTGAAGTAATTGTAATCATATTTTATTTTTTTCCCATTGGAAATTATGTTTTTCTTCATTTACCATATTATTTCAAATTTACATAGTAAATTTATATTTATAAAAAAAGTAAAAATGTAATTAAATATATCATCGTAAAAATGTATTACTAAATAAGTTTCACAGTAAAAGATTAAAGGATTGTAGTAAAATAATCAAAGTAAAAAAGTACACTTTGTCTCAATTATAGATAGTAATATGTTATAAACCTATGATACCCTGACCCATTCATCACAGTTTATTGATTTTCCTATCGACAGATTAATATCTACATTCACATACCATTCTATCATTATGATTTGACATTATCATTTCTTTCTCTCCATAACTATATATAAACATGTCTTCCAAACTATGTTGGCATGTGTGCACCAAACATAGTACACTTAATGATGTCTTGTCTTTCAAAGGTCAGCTTGATCTGTCCTGAAAAAGAGCGTCACTCCTTCGAACTACATAAGCCTCTCAGATCTTCTGTCATGTTGTAATTTATAATTAACAGCGTGGCAGTAAATACAAAATTTTTAATTATGAAGTTTTGTATTTACTACCACCCGGTAAATTCTAAATTTAGAACATGACACTTTGAACTGTGAGATATTTACGTGTAGTATTTTAATCTATTTTATTTTTTTTATCTTTGTTTAATTTTCAGCAATATAACCAACTTACTATGATATTGATAATGAAAATGTATACAGCAATATAACCTCTAAACAACGTTTTACATTAAAATATTCCAATGAAATACCATAAAGTATTTTCTCTATAAATATGAATAATAGGCTTTCACACTGAAAAGTTTTCTAGAACCAAAGATGTTATTTTTTCTGTTTTTAAGTCATCATTTTGTTTGGTTTGAAAAGAATGACCTTAATAAGAAAATGTTATATGACCTTTTTGCACTGAAATTTTTGTCTTAATCAAAAATTCTATCTTCAACGTTATTCCATTAAATATTTTTATTTAAATAAAGCATTAAACAAACTAAACAATAAGTTTTTAAAAAAAACCAAAAAAAAAAAAAAAAAACCGACACTTTAAATTTGTAACTAAAAAGTTTCAAATTGCTCTGCATAATCATTTATTTGACCTTTCTGCACTTACAAAATGAGATTTTCTGGCATTAAAATTTAATAAGCAAAAATATTATTTTAAAGTCTAACACTTTTGCTAAATTTAAGCAGATAGGTCAAAGTTATCTTAAATATTAAGACAAGAACATAAAAGTGGGGATATATGATGTAAATTTTAGATAATACTGAAAATGTGTCAATTTTATGTTAAAATTAGCTCATTTTTTCTGGACGTTCAGAATATGTTTACTATATTTGTCACAATTCTATGAAATAATCCATAAGAAATAATTTCATAGATATTTCAGAAGCAACATAACACATTTCACTGCATAAAGCAGCTTTGTGTGCATGACTCTCTGGAAAAAACTTTTCAACCTAAAATTGAAAGTTACTGTATATACATGATATACTCAAATTTTAAAGGCAAAATTTTTTCCACCGGGTGGTAAATTCCAGGTGAAAAGGGGGGGACTTATAAACAGGTGTGAATGCCTTTGGGGCTAGCAGTCTTAAACTTTTTCTGTCAAGTAAATTTTTAGTTTTTTAGATTTTTTTTCAGTTCCCACACTCATAGCTTGATTAAAATTCAAAGAAAACATGGGGGTTAATATGCTTCTTATGGTGCTACAGAACATTTAATATGACCTTTTTGCACTGAAATTTGTGTCTTAGTGAAAATAACATCTTCAATTTTATCACAAACTTTAAATTAGAAGTAAAAAGTTTATTTTAAACACACTTTAAAACTGTGACTTTGATAAAGTTTCAAATTGCTTTGCATAATCATTTATTTGACCTTTCTGCACTCACAAAATCTGATTTTTTGGGGCATTAAAATTTAATTTAAAGCAAGAAAATTATTTTAAACTCTTAAACTTTGTGTTAATTTAAGCAGAAAAAAAATTATCTCCAGGAAAAACCAAATTATATGATGTTTTTTTTAGATATTTCTGAAAAAGGTGTCAATTTTTTGTTTAAATTAAATGAGAGCAGTATATTTACTTTATTTCTTCTAAAAAAAATGTCTAAGTTATGTTTCACCACTTTGAAAAAGTTATTCAAAGTGCGTTAAAATGAAACATGCTAAAAAGATTTTTTTAAAGTGCGTTAAATTTGAATAACAACTTTGAAAAAAATTTTAATTGTGATTAGAAACATTATATAAATATTTTTTTTAAATTTAATAACTTCACACAAATATGCATAAAACAAAAAATAACTAATTATAACATTTTTAATTAATAGTTAATGTGTAATAATCTTTTTTTTAATTTAATATATTTAATCATTTCAAGAAAAGGACAAAGGTTTTATGTACCAACTCTTTTTTTCTTATAATAAAATTATATTTGAAAGTAATCCTTTTAAATAAGCCCCAATTTCAATGTATATTCAAAACATTTGTGTGACCTATAATTGATACACCCAAATATATGTATTTGCATAACTGGTATGACGTTGAATACTTTCAATACATTTTACTTTATATATAAAATGCATGCAAACTGTAAAAAAGTGGTAAACATCAAGAGAGATCAAAAGTTAATTTGAAAAATCAAAATCCACTTTCACATCCTGAAGTGACCTCAACAAGAGTTATCAAACAGGTTTAATTATTTATCATACAGATTTTCAAGGTCCTGCCATACACATTTTTTTTTCAAAGTGCGTTAACATGGTCGATATCAACACACTTAAAAGAAATTTTATTTTTTCAAAGTGCGTTGATTTGGTCCTAAATTTAACGCACTTTGAAAAAATTTTTCAAAGTGCGTAATTTTTCAAAGTGCGTTGTAACATTGGATATTTCAGAACCAGCATATCAAATTTAATTGCAAAAACAGCTTTGTGTGGAAACAGCATGGAAAATCTCTGTATATAGTTCAAAAGGGAAAAATTGATAATTTTCTTCTAAAAACATTCAGACACAAAATATGCTTCCTGACCTAATTCTACTTGAATAGAATTTAATAGCGTTTTTTAAATTATTGAATATTGTTCTATTTGCATTGTAGAATCTAGATTTAATGTTGGAACTTAAAAATAATGCAGAATTTAAGAAAAAAGGTCCAGTCTAAAATCCGTTCAAAAGCTCAGGATCGAACCCCCTTAAATAGCATAAAATTTATCAATTAAAATAGTAACAAGGTGCGCAATAACTTTTTATTTACTTTTATGAATATTTACATGTAATATCAATTTTCTGAAATTAAATCATTACACAAGCAATTGTATTTGACAAAATATGTCAAAAGTTTTTTGTTGAAATTGGAAATACAATGTTAATTTTTCTAAAAGTTTTTTTTAAAGGTCTGCATGTACATGTTTGCAAGTTATGTACATTAAGCTTTCAAATTATGATTTGGAACTCTGTGTTAAATAGTGATGATAAATTATGAATGCAAAGTGTAACAATCGAATTAAAGAAATTAATTCAACTGTTTACATTTTTTTCAGATTTTAATTAAGTCTCTTTATGAAACGATCATTGAGGCGAAAAAAAGAATATAAGGATTACACGAAAAATTTAGAAGTCCCAAGAGTACTACGATATTGTATGAATATAAAAGATTCATAAATAAAATAGAATTTCCGAAAATAAAATAAAATAATGCAGAAATGTAAATATACATGCATGAAATTTGATAGCAGACAAAAACTATTAATATAATGGAAATGACAACATTCATTCTTCTATGAATGCTGTTTGTTACAGAAGACATTTTTAGAGCTTTCATCTTTTTAATATGTATAATAACGATTGCACAGAGAGAAAACAACCCCCAAACAACACGAATGATAACAAATGTAAGCTTCATGATTCGATATTGGGAAGGATAATATTTTAAAATTGTAAATAACATTATTAATATGAAAGCTGTAAAGAGTGAAGAATAAAACCAAATCATTACAGAGCATGCCAAAACAATTGACGCGGTAAGTCGTACTTTGCTCTCTAAGGGCTGAGCTACTAATAAATATCTGATAATAGAGAGAAACACAATATGTGCACTTGAACAGTTAACAATGGCTTCAGGTAGAAAAGAAGCCACCATATACCAAAACGACCCTCTATACACAGACATTTGAATATAAAGGTAAGAAAACAAAGCCAGAAATTTCTCCAAAAATATTATGATGATATTTAGAGCATCAGACAAAGCAAGGCAACTGATGGCAACAAATGTTGGAGTATGAAACTTTTTATAGCATGAAACTGTGCAGATGGTCACAATATTTCCAACGAAACCCAGTATTCCGATAATCAAAGCCAACACCGTGGTTGATTTCTCAAATCCTTCTGATGTCAAACTAAAAGCATTTGAATTGAATAAATGGAATGTTAGATTATGAACGTTAAAAAAGTCATAAATGTCTGAAAATTCATCAGAGCTATCTTTTCTTTCGTTCAAGCTTCTCTGTAGAGTTTGGTCAACTGGAGACACGAGTGAATACCAAAATGTGCTATTGTAATTCAATTTTGTCTCTTTGTCAATATGAGAGGAATTCCATTTGGAAGGTTCAGCTGTGGGTACCCGAACTTCTCTTTCATAAAATGCCATTTTTCGACAAACTGTTAAAAGAAGTATTATTCAGTCCAGAAAAATTAAACATCCTCCTTTATAAAAAAGATAATCAATAGTAAACATCCCACACTACATGTAATAAAAGAATGCATTTTGGAAACATTAATTCTACTTAACATACCTTACGTCGTATTTTCTGGGTAAGGCTAGGCTCAAGTTAAACACTGGCTCGTTGATGTCAAGCGTTATTCAATGTTAGAACATATATATGTTATGTCTTCTTTAATACTGAACGATCAGTTTATAAAGAAAGGAAATGCAAGTCTTTCCTGCTTATGGTTATCTAATACAACATATGTTAGAAAGTCACTAAGAATCACAAGGAGTATTTGGGGAAAACCATTGATATTTTCCTGCTTCCGCGAAAAAAATATTCTTTCTATTTCTTACTGAGAAAATGAATAATACCATCGTCATTCATGGAATTTCATTTAATCAAAGTTACTTCGCTATACTAGATCGGGGTTATTTGGACAACTTTTGCTGATGCATGGCATTCATTCCCAAACACGCGATTGTTTTCAAGTTCAAATTAACTCAGGATTGTAATATATTTCAGTAAATATGAATTTAAATGAAATTGACTATGGATCTCTCAATTAAAAGGTATGAACATAAATATATAAATAATCTCATACATTTTACAGTTCACGGTAGCTTAGTCAGTATAGTGCTCGCTCCGCGTTCGAACGTCAGTCGGGACTGACATAATCGACAAAAATGGAGAGCAACCATGCCCTCAGCACTTGAAGTGAAAGATGCGGGTCCTTTGAATGAGACCTTTGTAGCAAACGCTAATGATATAACACCGCTTATTGATACAAATATCATTGATCGTTGCAACTGTAACGCTTATTGTCATAAATTATTGCATTGAAGGTTGACCTTTTCAATCGCCAATGATAAATTGCCACTTAATGAAAGAATTATATAGTTAAGCGGATGAGAATGTCAAGTATTAATGCAATGTTTTATGACATTGCAACGCTCAATGCTATCTGTATGATTATAAGCGTATTATCAGAAGTGGTACAAGGCAAGTATACATCTATGTCAAAAAGCACAAGCATCCACCTATTCATTTTTTTCAAGGAACCCTTGAAAAAATGTCTAAAGAATTCAAATGATATGAGCTATGAGTAGTATTGTCTTGATAAAAAAAATACTATTTATAGATCATTTTCATGATGATTGTATCAATCAAAGTAGTTTTGTTAGCAGGCATCAACGCTCTTTATGTTTAGTCTGTCATTAAAAAATGATTAAAGTTGATCTTTCCTGACGTACCTCGGTGAAAGAAAATAAAAAAAAAATGAAAAAAATTAATCATCTTATAAGTCTCATTAAATTCCTTTTTTGAAAAAAAAATCTACAAAAGAAATATGTCGTGCATTCACATATATGCAGTATTAAACTAAAAAAAGAAAAATGTAAACATAAAGAAATACCAAGATATGTCGTTGAATAAACATATTGTCAGCATATATAATTGTTAAAAAATTCCTGTCAAAATTTTTTTCAAATCTAATTTAATATGTTAAACAAAAATCTAAACAAGAATAGCGTAAAATTATTAGCATCGCGATTTTTAATTTTGATAACACTATATACCAAAATATTTCATAATATTCATAATGATTAAATTATCTGAAAGCAATTGTTTTAATTTTATAAAGTTTTTTCAGAAACGTCTTAAAAAATGAAAAATGTTTCTAAGTTACTGGTTATGTAATTATTTACTGCATAAATATCATTAACAATCCTTTTACATTTTCCGAGGAAATCAATTGATCACACGAAAATATAATCAAAATTATCTAATTAGAGAGAATCTTGTTTTCTCTTTAATTTATGACCATATGTGATTTATTGGCAATCTTATTAATATATAAGCTCATATTGTTTTCAATCTAAAATGTTTCATTTTGATGGCAAGATCTTTAAAAATATTATTAATAAAATTCCTCAATTGTTAGTATTACACAAGTTTTGGTTTAACATGTATATCATTTATGATAGGAATACTAAGTTACTGGTTATGTAAAAATTGCATTCATCATTTCGCATAAAAAATAAAGATAAAATTAATCATTATTGATTTGTTTTCTCAATTGACCATTTGTGATTAACATGTATTGGCAAACTTATTAATGTATAAGCACACATTGTTTTCAATCTAAAATGTTTCATTTTGAGAGCAAATTTCATGTTTTGGTCAGATATATTTTTTTTTGGGAAGTAAAATACAAGGAAAATCGGTCTTTTAATGGAGCGCAAATTTCTTAGAAAAAAAAAATGATATAGTGATTAATTGATTAAATCTTGCTGAATGCTGAGTTGGTAAAGTTCATATGGCAGGGACAAGAAAGTACTTCTTTTTATCCTGGAGGCAACAGTAAAACTGTTTTTTTCTTGAAATCAAGAGAAACAATCTTTTGCGTACCAGTTCGGTGGTGATGGTGGTGATTGTGTGTGGGGTTGGGAACTGGGTAGTAAGTCCTGACGCTATAATTTTGACGTTTCATCTGGGGGACATGCTGAAAACTCAAAATGAAATTGCACCTTTCAAACAACTGTATCGTCACTGAAGGTAAAGAGAAATGACTGAATCACAGAGCCTTGTCATTCAGCCACCTTTCAAGGTCATATAACTACTACTATGGTTTTTATATCTTCCGGGTTCAACCACAAGAACCAAGATATATTTATATATTTGATTATATCTGTAAAATATTCATGCACTTATCACGCATGTATTCTTTATTCATTTGACTCAGTAAAAAATTATTGAACTGCTTATCAAACTTGTTAAATCTTGCAATGGACTATTTAAGAAAGACAAAATTTCAAAATAGATAGGTTAGCACCGATATACCATATAAGTGGAAATTTTAGCGAGACGCAAATTTAGTGATTTGTCCTTAAATACTGGTCATTTATTTTTAAAATATATTTTAGCGATATATAAAATGCCATTTATTACAAATAAAATGCAATTTATTATTAGCGATATTTAATTTTAAATTAATATCCAAAATTAAATCCTATTAAAAATTTATTATACGGTATTTGATTACTTCATTAAATTATTTTAAAGTCTTCAAATAATTACTTCAATAAATTATATTATACATATATATATAAAAATAGTTCAATAAATAACTGTATTACCTGGTATAAACTTTTGAATTGATATCAAATTTAAAACATATTAGCACCAATTCATTACTAGCTTTAATAACTTTAAAAACTAACAAAATAATAACAAATTATAAACAAATTAACACTATTGTATCAATTACCTCCCTAAATTGTCATAATTTATTTAATTAATACCAAATTTCAAACAAATAAGCACCAATATTAATTGCATACTGTACTATAAAGTTCTGACTATAAGAGATTCAAACTACCCTTACCGGACCCCGTTCTAGTTGATGCAATATTCTACATTGTCACTAGTGGACAATTGATTGACAGGAACGGTCATTGAAGCGCGTGGAACTATAAATAAACCCCTTGACCTCTGTTCCCTTTGCTCCATTCTGTGTTTGACCGGTCTTGGACGATCTGCCCGTTTGTTCGGGAGAGATTTTAGATTCAAGGGACTGTTACAATGGCCAATTTTTCAATAGGAATTCTAGCAGCCCTTTGCCTGCTAGGTAAGGCTTAAATTTGCTTTTGCAGCTACTTTGTCTGTAAAACTTTCAAAATAATGTTTTTTATTCAATGCATTTCACCGTTTGAAATTATTTCTAAATGAAACTTCTATAAAAATTCTTGAATTCGACAAATGGAATCATATTTAGTTAACAAATTTTTGTTAACATATAAAAAATGTAAAAATCGCTTCATTTGTTGTAAATAAGAATGTGATGCATATTGTTTGAAGGGAATACTTGCTATAATATACTTGAAAAGAAACAGAATGTTTGACCTACAAGTTAACCTAGAATTAAATAATGCATATCAAAGGTACATATTTGTAGGTCATACGGAACATTCTCTGCATACAGGTCGATAGAATCAAACGTTTTATGGACCTTTTTGGAAATCATCTATATCAAAATAATGGAATCAGTGTTGAATGATTTATGGTAATGATATACACTGACTAACTGTCATATATGCATAAATGATGATTGCTTGTACATAGGGTTTCACAAGACCGATATTTAGGAGACTTTTATCGTTTCTGTTATCTATCATTTTTCTTTTCTTTTTTTGTAGCCCTTGTACAGAGTGGTGAGTACAATTTAGCTAATAATCAGCATTGAGTGAATAAGATTGGATGAACATAACACATGAACTTTTTAAAGCTGCATTCATCTAAACAAAAGTGAACATGTCAACTGAATTGAGGTAACCAAGCAAATTTGAGCCTATATAAGGGTCTATGAGTTGATCTGAGCAAAAGCAAGAATAAGCTTATAGCCTGAATTGATCGAACAAACACGATTAAGCTAATGGGCTTAATGATCTTAAACTATTCGCTCACTATGCGAAAATGTGAAGATTTCTTCATAGGTTTTAAAATTCAAAAGACGTGACACCTTTCTCTTCAGTTCTTTGTTAATTATACATTTTGGTACCAAATGTTATTAAATGCTTAATCCTAACTTCATATATTTCCCATTCATTATGATTTTAAATGAAAATCACCCAAAATTACCATGTTTGTTCTGTTCATTAAAAGGATGAGATTTGAATTTAAATTGTATTTCATAATTGCAATCAATTACATGTTAAATCAGCGATCATTAATTATTTTGCATTTTTGACTTATCCTCAAATTTATTAATTGATACACGAAATATCAATTTAAATCATAAAAAATAAGATGAAGATATTCTTCATGTCAAATGACCGTGTTATGATTATCCAAAACTTGACCACAGACATTCAAACCACATGCACAACTAGAAATAATAAAAAAACATAGCACAGTCATGAAGAAAAAAACCAAATCGAAAGTCAACCGTTATAAAGAACATGCATTTATGTACCTCCTTTCCCCGGAGACCATAACCATTGAAAGCTGGTGGCTGATTTATCATCTATTTTATCATCGATTTATGACACTTAATGCCGATTTATGATCGGTCTGTAGGGTTCACTGTTCTTCTACAATACAATGCATGATTCCATTCTGCTCAGACTTTTGACCAAGATCAAGAATTATGATATATAACGATTATGATATATTGAATCGACACATTCCTTTATTTTATAAAACATTTCTGGAATCAACTGAACATTTTAAATATAAGAAATCTAAAGCTATCGATTTATTTTCATTTTATCATGGAATACTATTGTATACAACCTAAAGGGCTCGTATTTTATCAAGAACATTCACATCAATAAGGACAAACTGCAGTAGAATCTTGATATTGCTCATTTGTGGTCCATTTCAAATAGGAACTTACGACTAAGATTGACACATTTTTAGGATTGTAAATAATTTCATAACCAATCATTCTATCAACCATTGTTAATTTAAAAATATATTTATAAGTCAAATTTACAAATGATAAAACTACTTGAAACTACTCCACTATGGAACGTCGAGACCGGTTCTTCGCATGAGACAGTATAAACCGAAGTCCCGTGTCACAGCAGGTGTTGGCACGAAAAAGATCCCTCACTGCTCAATGACCCTAAGTGTCGAACATAGGACAAAATTTGCAGCTTTCCACTGGCAAGTGGTCCCGTCTCTTTATGAGTTGAAAAATGTTCTAGAGGGGCGTAAAACAACAGACACACAAACCATAAACAACTTGAAAGAAATTTGATAAAAAATGAATTTATTTTTACCATTTATTGATCGTTTAAGTATATAATATTATTATTGTCTTTGCACTGGATTTTCTTCCCTTTTTTGTTATGTTTTGTAAATACAATGATTAATTGCATCAAAATATGTTTGGGTACCTAATTTTTGAATGTTTGTTGCAAACGAATTATATGAAGGTAAATATTTTATTATTGACTTTTTTACTTTTTAAAAATATTTTCAGGACAAGGACACGGCTATAAAAGGGGTAAGTTTAAAAGACTTATATAAGCACTAATTTAATGTGACAGATATCAACAGACAATAAATAAATCATGTACATTTTATCTAAGTTTAAAAGACTTACAAATACGTAATTTTAACTTGATAGATATCAACACACATCGTTCTAGTGATTTAAATTTCATGTGTTACACGTTTAACATAAACCAAGAAAAACAGGAAATTTACATTTCTTTTTATATGTGAATAAGATGTTAATCTAAACATTCACCCTATGAAATTAAAATCACGTGAACTTTTCAATGTAGAGCAGGAAAAATTTTTTTTCCCTCTTTATACTTGAGAAAACCATGTGTCCACTCTTAATATAAAAGGAAATACAACAATGCTACATAAACAAGCAACATTTTTATGACATTCATCTCTGATGAATCTAAGTTAAGAAGGACGGATAATAAGGAAGTGTCCTTATTTAATCTGAGACAAATGGAGAACATAACAATGTTTTGGCATTTGGAGTCCAGTATAATAAAAATAAAACACTCTTCTTCAATAAAAAGGTATTTTCGTCATTGGAAACAGTGTAGTATTTCCTCTTTGGTATTTGACAAACAGAAACATAACTTTAATTATTAAACCATGAGATATTGCATGCGTTGTTATTCAATGTTGTCCCAGTTTGGCCTCAGGGCAGTGCGTCTTAATGAAAAAAGGTGCAGAATGATGTAAATATGTGCACATGACATGGGAAATATACAGATCTTTATTGCAATAGAATGTTACATAAGAAAACGATGCAAAGCGAGAAAGGGTTTATAGTTACATAATATAGAAAGATAAATGATACATTAAGATGTCTGTTGTGACAATTTTTATTATTTGGATCTGTCAGTTGTTGTGTCACTCGTTGACATAAACAAGTACCCATCCTAAAAATCTGATTTCTGAGTAAAAAAAAAATGTCTCACGTTATTCCATGCTTTTATATAAAATAAGAGTTACAACTTTTTGGACATATAAGACTTATAAATATTCAAGAAAGATCAAATTAACATAGCGTTCATTGGACATATAAAAGGAAAAAAATTATAAAGTGTTTTCGATAATTTTTTTCAAATTTAAGTGCAAATCTACAAATGATGAAATTTTTGTCAAATAAAAAAACCCAATATTTTAACTGCAAGTTAATTTTCATTTTTTTAAGGGGGGGGGGGTTCCGGACGATTATTAACGGCATTTTTTGCCAATAACTTAAATGACCTTTTTGATCTTAAGAACTGTTTATTGAAAATTATGAAATCTGGGCACCTACTGAAATTTCCGGATAAGTAATAGAATCAAATTATGTTAAATTTAATCAATGTAATTCTACAAAACGGATTTCGTCACCATCGTAGGTTTTGGAATAACGGTAAACAAGGATTATTTAGTGATAGACCTTTATAGGTTGAAATGCATTAATTCACCCTTTTTAAAATTAAATAGATAGAATGAAAACACTTTTGAAAAATCGACATTGTCTTTTCTTTGTCCGCGACGAAACAAAGACACACTCTCTATATGTTAAGTCTGTAGAAGCTCTAAAATAAACATTTTACCAGTAAGAAAGACCTGTCTTTTTTTTAAAATATATCTATGCATATAGTGTTAAAGTATTGTTATTATTTGGGATTAGTCCAGACCTGAACTGAATGGAAACAAATACACTGGCAGTTTTATTGGTACAATTATTTTTTGATAATTTGATCTCAAAATACCATAGAAATGCATTAAAATGCAAAACATTTGAATGTTTTTCCCTTTTTTCTTCAGACCATTTAATTATACATATCCAAAAAAGATGAATAATTTCTCCGCTTCTAAATAAAGATTTTATCGATCTATCAATAGATATTAAAGACAAATATTGATATTGATATAAGAAAATACGCCAAAATAATGCGCGAATATAATAGAAGCAAGCTGGCACAAAATTCTACCAAGTGTTGCCAAGATCATAAAAACGTCTACAAACCCCTGACCCGAGATCTATACCATTATAAGTGATGTTCTATTTACCACCAGAAAAGGTGTCAGTTTTATTACCGAGAGCGGTTTGGATTTTAGAATCTGCGTGTTGCGTTAACGAAACATACAGTAACACATGCTTAGGGTGAACACACATAAAACGAAATACGGTTTACAGAGAAATAATTTTCACTTTCTTTGTGGCTTTGAATTATATAGTGACCCCAACTGATATAACGAATTTCATATCGAATGGAACGAAATCGCTTGTCCCTTTCACTTTGATGTAAGCGTATTTCACTGTAAACGATTTGACTGTTTTGTAAGTCATAAATATTGTTAAGAAGATTGTTGTTCTTATGTTTTCAAAAGATACGATAAAATTCCTTAGGATTATTTAGGGTATGAGAAATTTTTTTAATTTGCAGTATGTTTTACTAGCAAGCAAGTTTTGCATATTATCCTTTTTGATTTAAGATGGACTCCAAAACCAGATTTTGCTACATGTTACATATATATTTTAACCAGAAAAGCATATAACATATGTGTTATATCAATATAATGTTTAATGTCAAACTATTTCTTTCCCGTTTTAGGGTACATTTCAAAATACGGATCAAGATATGGACTTTATAAGAGACCACCTTTCGGTACCTTTGTTATATCTATTATGATATATTTTATTTTGTCAACTATTACCAATATTTTTATAAGATATATTTGATTTTCAATTCAATATAGTTTACTGTAATGATGTTGTATTTGTTATAGTGCAAATGAAAATTAAACTAAAAAAAATGAAAGGAGAGAAAAAATGCAGAAAGCCACAAAAAATGTAGTTTTAAAAGTAAACTAATATCACTGAGCTTATGAATCGGAAATTTCACCCAATCCTATATTCTTAAAGTTCTTTAAAGTTCTTTGTATTAAAGGTAGAGATATAATTCTATGTAATATACAAATTAAATATGCAAATAAGAACTTCATCGAATGGTGAATACACTGTATCATGAAACAAGATTTGAGTAGTATTCTCTCTTTTTTAGGATATTTTAAAAGATATTACAGACCACAGACCATCATAAAAAAGGGTATTGTATATATATTTCAAATTTATACCTTACAGACTCAGCTAATCATAAATTATCAAGTAAAGGATAATAGATGATACAAACAAACTTTTGTCATAATGCTTGAAAATAACATCCTAATTCATGTTTCTATACGGAAAATAAACAAGATTTTAATATATCATTCAAATTTACACAATAATGGAATGTGAAGTGAAAACTATTTGTACAGATTAATAGGGATGGCTGCAGAAATGTAGAATTTTAAATATCATAAAAGGGTTACAATTTCTAAATATTTTGGAAATTTATTAGTTGTATGATTTGCAAGAAAAATAAGCTCAGAAACATACTCCAAATTAGGTATCCATTTTTTTGTTTGTATCATCTGTCCTTAATTCAGAAAGGTAAGCTTATAATGTCGAGGATTTCAAAACGTTTAACGTTACACTTCAGGATATATATTTCTTTTCTTTTTCAGTCCCAGTGCCAATAATTAAACGTGTACCAATATACAAAACTATCATTAAAAGGGTTCCTATTATCAAGAAAGGTAAATTTTTAAAACTCAATTGTCATAATTTGTAAAGATTTGTTTTAACAATACAATTGTATTTTAGAATTTTTTTTCCGCTTTAATAAAAGAAAATGTAAATTCAAATAGGATATATCTAAGTCATAGAATCAAAATAATTGTTTTACTGTATTTTGAACAAGGTCGCATTCGTGATTTGATTTTCGCCAGGAAAGTAACGTCACAAAGAAAAAAAATCTTTCATTTTTATTTCTTTTGAGCTAAGAACAACTTTGTTTAATGTTATAAAAGATATTAACCAACTTTCAAATAAATTCCTGTTTATTTTAATTCCAGTAACGGTTGTTCGTAAAGGTATTATCATTGTGTGTCACAGGAATTTCATTTGTTTTTCATTTTCCTAACACGTTGTTTTATGTGCAAAATAATTTTATTCATGATTCAATGTCATTTTTAATTGTTATAAATGTCATTATTATAATAATTGTTGTAAATGTTCTTATTGTACATGTGCAATTGTTATAAACTTTATCCCTTGAATCAGTTACTGAGCATCATCACGCTTTAATTATAATCTAACAATATAACAATATCATACGTTATAGATTTCATTGTTTTCTCAAAAAATCTGCACGTTGATTATCATAATGACCAAAAAAAAAATTATATAAATTTGCAAGGCAAAAATGTTTTATATAGAAATGAAGAGTATGTTTATTAATTATCAACGGATTCAAAATTTTTAAACATAACAGAATTTTGCAGCATTAATACCAATACACTTTTGAAGAGGCAAATAAGAACTATGTACAGATCAACTTTCTTCATTATAAATAAATCAAAATGCTCAAGGTTGCTCAAAATGTAATATGTTAACGTCTTTTTTCACCATTTTGTCAATCATGCCATATTCTTTACAATGTGTGTGCTTTCAAATGTTTTGTTATGTGCATATTCCCTCTTTCTTGCCATACGTACTAAACCTGTCAACAAACAATAAATCATATCGTCAACGTTGTAGCATAATTCATATATTTGTTTAGAGGCAATTCTATTCATATGCCCTTTAGCTCAGAGAAAAATTAGATGACTTTGCAATAATACATTCAAACTTTTTTCATACAGAAGAATTACACTGCTATAAATTGAAAATGTTCGATTCGGAACATCACAAAATGTATAATCTTTTCTACCTAGTTGACTGGTATCTTTTTTTTAAAATATCTAATGGTACAAAAAAGGAATAAAAGGTATATCAATTAAAAGAAGGATATCTTTTAAGCTAATTGTTTTTTCTCGTTTTTTAAAAAATATATTTTGACTTATTAAAAGAATTCTACGTATATATATAGATATATACTAGATGACAACCTATGCATTATCAATTGTACCCTTCTCTGTTTTACAGTCCCTGTATATAAGAAAGTCGAGGTCGTGAAGAAAGGTAAGCTTTTAGAGTTTAATTAAAGCAATTTAATAGAAAAATGAAATATACTATATCTCTAGTTTACGATAGTATGAAATATTGCAACATTGTGACAGAACATCTAATACATATGTTATGCAATATCATAATGAACAGTCTTATATCGATTACCTGATCTCACCTCGCTACCATTTCTAATTTCTTTGTTAACAATCAATTCTATTGGTGACATATCTTTTTTTCTTATTTAAGTACCGAAAATTATAAGAAAGCCAGGTAAAATATGTAGTTGACCATGCATTAAACAACCCAATGCTTCTCATTTTAACACATTTGTTAAAACACCTTTAACAACTTCAACATGCTTTGTTGTGTCTGATTTTGTTTGTGAGCAGTTCTTTGTTTTGATATTTTATGGGGGGAGCTTCATTTTTTGTGACCACTTCATTATTTGTATGCACCTCGTTTCAAACCACCATGCTTTTATTGCTTTGATCATTATAGCAACATGATTAGAGGTGATTTAGTAACATGACTGCGTTATTGTGTGTGAATGAGTGAGCGAGAGCATAATATATGATACGCAAATAATAACGGTTTAAATTTGATCGGGATCGATGTGCTGATACTATTACTTTTGCAAAAAGGGGTTACGGGAAATGACTGAAACTATTTTAGATTTTAAATATTTATTTCATATGAAGCACATTTTAAATTGATATAATTAACTTTTAATGCCACCAGCATCACAAAAAAATCTAATTGCTTCAGGTGAAAATATCCGTTCTCTGTTCAAGCAATGTCAATAAAGAACATTTCTTTAAGTCATTTTTTTTTAAAAAACGATTCATTACAAAGGTTTGAAAGTTTATTTGACCAATTGCATCTCGTCTTCTTTACTCCCGTGTCTTTAATAAATACCTGCAAGCATTCACTTAAGTATTAAGAATGTTTATTTTTTGTTTCCTATGAGAAAACCTTTCACGGAAAGAAAAAACATAAAAACGTTTTTAAAAATATCAAATTCAATTTTTATATGTAAAACTTTTAAGAATCTTGCAATTTTAAATATTTTTGCCTTTTGATACAGTCCCTGTGCCAAAGCCAGTTAAAGTGGAAGTTCCGGTTAGGGTGCCCTACCCCGTCGAGGTGCCAATTGAAATTCCGGTCAAAGTTCCGGTTGAAAAACACATCCCAGTCCGTAAGTATACAATTCTATTTTACCTAGAATTTTTATTTAAAATATGATGTCTACTTTTTGTTTATAATAAATTAAAGTGGTATCGCCTTTACTTTTAGTTTTTATTGTGCTTCATTTTTTTTAAATAGCTGTCCCTGGAGGTACGTTTTGATTTACTTATGAATATTTAAAGATGTACCAAAATATGAATAATTGCACTGTAAAGGTTTATTCAAATATGAATTTACATAAGACTATCTATTAAAGTAATCTTGCCATTTTATACATATAAAGATAATATTTTCGTAAAATACCTAAATGATAAGCAAAGAAATCAATGTTAAATTGTCATTTTAATGTCATCTGGAAACAATATTCAACAGAAGGCTTTTTAATGAAAATATAATGTATGCGCGTTTCCCAGTATCTATTCCGCTGCTAATCATGCTATAACGATTGCGCATGCTTTAACATGCGCAGAGCTTTAAGTGGCTTGGGTCCCCTACCATAGATAGCAGAGATAATGTAGATGAAATTGATACTTCTAGCTTTGGTTTTGCTTTTTGTGCCAAACAATAATCGTTTAAATCTAATAATGAAAAAAAGAGATATTTGAGTAGCTTTTAAAGAATTTCATTAAAAACATAAAGAGACGATCCAGTAAAAATATCTAGTTACCCAATTTCAAATCTGCCTGATAAAATTCTTTTCAATGTATGTATCTTATACTTTTTGTTCCATAACATTTTTTTTTCAAAATAAACATTTAAATACACGATTTAGAATTTGAAAGAGATGAAATATCCAACGAAATTTATTTCAATTTGAACTTAAAGTAAAGTATACTAGAAATAACATTAGTAAATATTTAAATCTTATTAACCCTAGATGTTGTTATAAATGTTGCATTTTATCAAGGCTAGATTTAGTTATATATATGTTGCGCTTTATTAACGCTAGATGTCGTTATATAAATGTTGCGCTTTATTAACGCTAGATGTCGTGGCGCCTACTCCGATTGACCATGCTCCTATGCAGCCAAGCGTCATCGGTAAGGGTGAATGCTAATACATATTAACCATGCAACCCACATAATCATTACTAGTGAAATACTATAGACTAAGTATGTAGTCAAATGTATAATCATATTTTATATTCTTGGTGAAGGGATTTTACGAATAAATACATTTTCTAATAGATATATCATTTATGTGTGTGTCAACTTTTGTCTACCATCACTTTCATAAGAATAGCTTAACAGTAAGAATAGCTCTCTATGCATGCTGGTAAAAAGGTAAGTCAATATAGTGAACGGTGATTATCTGGGAATTAATGATATAGACGTTCCTGACACACTAACATCCATGCAACTGGCAAATTGGAAACAATATGCGCAAAGCGTTGCGCTGCAAAGATAGTTCTAGAAGTAGCGGAATAGATGCACCTCCGACTCTTTAAGAGACACTATCTGAGGATGCGCTTATTCTGTTTCCTCCAGGTAAAACAGATATTGGTTTGCCAGGTGTAGATATCGGTATCATTGATGGACCAGGTGGCCATTTTGACCTTGGAGGGGGGCATGGTGGCCTTGGGGCAGGGGGCGCGGGAATTGGCATAGGTGGACACGGCGGATTAGATTTCGGAGGTCCTCTAGACATTGGTGGGCACGACATCGGTCTGGGAGGAGGAGATGCTGGGATCGGTCTAGGAGGAGGAGGAGGAGGTGCCGGGATCGGCATAGGAGGAGGTTCAGGAGGAAACGGAGGCGGCGGCGGCGGTGGCAGCGGAGACATTAACATTGGTCTCGGTCTTGGATTTGGCGATGCCATCGGAAAAGGAAGTGCAGGTGATGGTGCCGCCATTGGAGTCGGCGGCGGACCTGCAGGTGCGTGGAATGGACCTGGGGATGGTATTGCCTTGGGGGCAGGGGGTCCAGACGGGGCATTGGGAATTGGAATAGGAACACCTGGGGGAATGTCTATAGGTGCTGGCTTTGGAAAACCAGACTCAGGGGGAGGAATTGGAATTACTTCCGGTGTAAATGGAGGTGGAGTGGGTATTGGGGGAGGTACCGATGGAGGGGGTGGGGGCGCCCTGGGTGGTACCGCTGGCGTTGGATTTGGAGTTGGACAAGGAAAGAATTCCCTAGGACTTGGAATGGGATTAGATCAAATTGCAAGTACGTTAAGAACATGGGAGGTATATGAGAGATGAATAAAAACTAACACAAATCCAAGGCAAATCAAAAACAAATAGCAAGAGATATCAAAAGTCATATTTCTTGTTGTTTGCAAGGCACTGTAGAAAAATACTACTTTCATAATAAGGTAAGTGTTCAAATTTGGATTAACGATAAAGTTCCAGTCCTTTTGGCCCATTAAAATAGAAAAAGGTAAGTTTTAAAAGATGAAAAATTTCACCTTTAAATGAAAAATATTTTACGATTCTTTTTCCAGATACTGTCATGATAAGTAAGTACTTGTGTCGGATGTCGGCATTTTGTGACCTCACTTCCTTTTTGTGACCACACTTCCTTTTTGTGACCTCACTTCCTTTTTGTGTCACAACTTTCAAAAAAAAAAAAATTTCAAAAATGAAAAAGAAATCGAAATATCTTTTTTTTTGAAAATGTAAATAAATGTACCCTTTACATTACTCATCTATCCACACTTTTGCTAAGTAAGAATATAAGAATACAAACAAAACATTTCGTGCTTACTTCCCTGTTGAAACACTTGTGTAAATTTGTGGCGTGAACGTTATTCCCAGCATAGCCTAACCTGATTAGATAGACAATCAAACATTCACTCATTCATATGTTCAAGACGGTATAAGGCTTACTTTTTAATATCTTTGAGAAAGGTATGGTTTTTCCTTTGTTAATTGTGTGTATTTTGAATGTGGTGACAGGTTTTCTAATATTTTTGTCGCACTGTTCACTGTTCATTCTAAATTGTTTAAGAGATTTTTCATCATCAAAATAAATTCTAATTAAAAGTAATTTCCAGAATAAATCAATTTATTTTATAGTTTCAATCTAAAACACCTTTAAAAAATTTAAATTCCTTTTTTTTATCTGTTTAAACACTTTATAAATTGTTTGCATTTTACCATACATTTTATTTTATTCCTTATTTTTCAGCTGATGCAGATCACGGTAAGTTTATTTTGAACTAGTATTTGAAAGCTTTAAAAAAGAAGTTTATCATTTAATGTCTAAATCTTTACTGAATAGTAACTGTACGATGGCCCTAGGACATTCAGTCATATATCAAAATCTTTCAGTGATAATTTATCCTTTTTTCCTGCGTTAAATTTAAGGTATTTCACTCGTCAAAATAGATTCAACTTTAAAAAGGTCAATTAAATGAATCATACAATAATGTTATTTTCACCAAGAAAAACTAAAAAAAAAAAAAAAATAAAACCATGATGTTTTTGGTATTTCGTATGCTCCTTAAAAGTTTATATTATTCCTTTTTAAATTGTGTCTTTGTATTTATGAATCATTTCATATGTAACGCATAGATTATGACCTAATTAAAATATTTTAAAGAATACTTACCCATACGCATTTGACTTCTTTTAATGTGATATAAACAGCGCATAAATTTTGAATAAATTATTAATAAAAATATGTTTCCATGCTATATACATAATGTATTTGCGTATATAGATGTTTCAGGCAAACGTATTTGAAGGGAGATAAATGGAAGCATTTTACTATGAATACAATAATGATATCTGAATTTAACTTATTTTGCAGTAAATCTTGGACCTGGAAGCGGAATTGGCCAGGGTTCTAGAGTTATCGTCAGTAAGTTAATTCATGTTTACCCATTTAAATATGAATCGAGCTAAATCTAGATAATTACAAAACGGTATAGATTTAACTAAGAGAAAACTGTATCTAATATTAATGGTAATGTGTGGCACTAGATATTAACTCATATCATATTGAAATCTTTATATCAAAACCAAAATGACTTTTCTCAGTTTTGAAAATCTATTTACATCAGAATAAGTAACGAATCTAAGCAGATTAATTAATTGCAAAACTTTCTGTCCACAATTTGCGTGCTTTTATGTAATAGAAGCGAAAGATATACTTAAACTTTCTCAACCGGAAACTTTCTTATTCAAGACAATTTTAATAAAAAGAAAATCAAATTTCATTAAATTAGTAAACAGCACCGATGCAAAGATGAATTACGTCTTATTTGTTTAATAACTTATTTCTTTTTTTTAAATTGTCTTATCCTTCTTAGCAAAGTGATTTAGAGTTATCTCTCTTTGAAGAAGAAAACACGTCCATAATTTAACTATACCTCGAAGATAATTAATTTCATACTGATATATGAGCTTGCAGACCTTTGCCACATAAACTTCTTCATTTGCCTTCAACCATTCTACAATACCTTTCATTAAAAATACAGTTTACTGACTATAATTTATTCCACATGTATTCAAATTATGATTTGAATTTTTAAGGTGATGCTGATCATGTTGGATTTGGTGGCGGATTAGACGGTGGTATGGACCAGGGAATGATCGCACCCGTCGCCATTTTAGGCGTTCACGACTCTGGCGCCGGAGGTAAGCACTGAAATGACTTAAAAGGTTTTTGACACTTTAAGAGATTTACACGAGATCAAATATTCAGTACAACCATGAACTAGAAAGATTATAAATGAGAGTATTTCTATCATAAGATATTTATCATATTTCTACTTTTTATAATTAAACATTTTATATAAATCGTTTTAAATTTACTTGTTTGACCCTTGTAGGGTTTAGTTAAAGTCAATAGATTATTGAAAGATCATATATACATTATATTCGGACTTTGCACTCAAAGTTGGTTGTGTCAAATTCATCTTTGAACACAAAAAGAAATATAAAATGAGATAAAAGGAATTTTTCGGTGTTTTTGGTCTTTTCACTCTCTCTTTCTCACTCTATGGTATGTTTAGGACTCATCTTTTAAAATTCTTTCTGCATGACCTGTTCTCTACTTTCTATTTCGATGGAGGTCAAATTTTGGACCGGTTTATTCAGACCATACTCACCTAATCCTCTCCTGTTTTACGTAGGTCCTTTAGTCGATCCCCTCGCTGGAGGAAATGGCTGGGATAACGGCCATAATGGTTTCGACAATGGTTTTAACAATGGCCCAGTGGTAGGTGGTGGACACGGTGGTTTTGACAATGGTCACCTCGGTGGTGGTTCAGGGTTCGATGCTGGATTTGACAATGGCTTAGGTGCTATAGTCGATAATGGCGTCGGTAACGGAATAGGAAAGAAAGGTAAATTGGTCGTTATTGCTTATACAGTCAAATCTCTTTTATTCAAATTCAAAGGGACAGAGGACTTCAAAGTGACAGAGACAATTGTACATGGAAGCTGAGATTTAAAGGAACACATTTAAATTTCTTAAAATTTTACATGTTATTTTTTTTTGATCTAATGTCTAATATCTTTTTTTCATTTTCAGTGTAAATACGACGTGAAGCAGGAGAGTTGGACCTGGGGTCGTTTCATTAAATGTTCTCATTAAGTTATGTTCATTTCATGTCAATAAACATCTCATTATACCCATTACATTTATTTAATTGTTTTTATTGTGACTGAACCTGCTACAAATTGTGGTGCTCAGAAACTATTAATAATCTTTTGCACACAACTCATCTTTTGATGAACATTACTGAGGATCACTAAATGGCGAGATTGACACAATCTAATTCGTAAAGAGGACAAAAATTTAGCAATTTCTGGTTATTTCTCTATGACTCATATAAATAAAAAAGTGCTTACATGGACTTTTTGCATACTATTCTTTCGTGTCACCCTACTACCAGTTTGGAACGGGCCAAATTCAAAGTACGAAGTGTTTTTTTTTTCTTCATTGAGATTTAAATTGAGAAATTTTGTTTGCAAGTGTAAAGACCAAAAAAAAACTGTATACTGTTTACGCCAAAATATTTTCTCAGAGTATTTTCGTGTAATCACACAATTAAAATAAATTGTGTCTAGTGAAAATAAACTCACAGAGTATCATTTTCTCCCCTCGTAGATTTTTATTGAGATTTCTTATATATTAAGTAAATTACGCTTTTATGTGATGTCATTTAGATATAAGCACCATAGAGATCTTTATTAATTTTTACTTGTTTTTCCCCTCTCTGTTTTTCTTTGGTCTACAGTCGCCTTCACGAAACTGTGGTTAGAGGACTGTTTTCTTGTTACGGAGTATGGAATTGATCTTTCAGAGGGCTTGATAGTTATGACCATTTTCACGCTATTTGTATCTCTTTAGAAGAAGAGCTTCGTGTAAAGATATTCAAAAATTGTCAAATTTTAAAACTAAAATGGTATGGAAAAAAGATCCCTTAATGTCTGTTGATCTAACTGCCAGGTTTAGTTCTTCATTAAGGTATTCAATCTATAACGACCGTATTTTGTACCTAATAAATGAATGGTCCGATATTTTTAATCATGGTAGCATTTTGAAAATGTTATCAAATTAATATGCTTCGCCAAATGATAAGAATTTACAATATTTAAATTACTCTCCATTCAATTGCACGTTAAATTTTACATTGAAGTCTATAAGTAGCACATGTTTTAATAAGGTATTAAAATTGAATTTCAACAAAATTTCTAGGAAAAAATATAGTATGTGTAAACCCCCTCTTTATTGAAGTATGCAATAACATAAATTATATATCGCACAAACTTTGAGAAATTACAAATTGTCTTATTTTTATCAAGGGCATATAACTCTTTAAAAAAGTTTAATGTGCATAATGACCGTTTCCTTACATGATATCGTTATTGATAATTGATAAACTGATAAAAATAATCCTTTGATAGTAAATCAATCGCTATTAAATAGCCGGTCCTCTATCTATAACTTTTGTGCAATGTTATGATAAATGATAATGCAGAAGACCTCAGCTCAAGCAAACATACCAGGTAAACCTTAATAAGGGATTCTCGTTTCTTTTTCTTTTTCTTTTGTATTTGTTAAAAAAAAACATGGGAATGCAATCTGCTGAATTTTCGTCCAAAAATGAAAGATTTCATGGTAAAATGACTCTAAATAAGGAATATTTTGGAACTTTAACAGTGGGAAAGATAAATTATACATTTAACTTGCGTATGACCTCTAAATTTAAATTTGCAATCGCTATTGTTATATGTCCGTGGTTTTATACCGGTATTTATACTTTCAGTGCATGCATAAACCTTGCGACCTGGCGGCCACAAAATGGCAAAATCCTATTGGTATACCGAAATACCCTTTCTGCATCAATCTCTATCTACTTAAAGGAAAATGCAAAAAATGTTAATAAAATGAGAGAATTTGTTTTGCTTGAAGTAAAATAAATTATCAAAATTCATTTATTTGACTGTGAAAGTGTAAAATCGAAGATTAATGTGTTAAAGATTTGAATAAAAAGTGCTTACTACAAAAGCAATGCTACTACTCTGATTTGAATCAATTGACTATCAAAGTGTGGCCACAAACAAGTACGTCTCTACCACGAAACACCGTACCAAAATCCTACGCATTATTGTTCACTGTAACTACACAGATATTCATATAAATCAATTAATGCGGACAAGGTGAAAAGAGATTGATTTATATGTGTGTGGGAGTAAAGCATCTCCTCAGGTAGGTGGACAGATAGATGTGTTCTCATCGTCACTGTTACCTTCACCATCAGTTTGGAACGTGTGAAATGTACAATAATACAGGTAACTCACGTGGGAGGTCATGTTAATGAATCAGTTGCAACTGGGGACATTTTCTTCAAGTCACGTTCATGAGACGTATTGATGAAAATTCACGTTCTTTTCTCAGTAGAAATGTTTACAGAATATGTTAAATTGTTATTACAAACGCGACTTGGAGAACGGTCCTTCGGATATAATCCGAGATACTGTGTCCATCAGATGTTGGCACAAATAAGATAAGTTACCTCACTGCTTCATGACCGTAAATGCCAAGTATAGATCAATATTTGCAGCTCTCTACAAGCAAGTAGTGGCTCTCAAAATGATAAAAAAAAATGAAAATTGTTTGAGAGGGAATTTAAACAATAAACATACAATCAAATATTACAAACGTTTCATTTCGAAATGATTAATTATTATAGCTACGTTTTCATTATATCAGAACTTTTTTGAGTTTATTAATTTTGTTCGTATACTTATTGCGTCTTTCATATTGAAGTGGAATATACGAAAGAGAATGCATGTTGTTCCATCTTTAAAGCTTTTTTTGGCCACAACAAAAACACAAAACAGCTATAGGTGTCTAATAATTACGGAAGTCAAATAGTGCAAACCAAAAATAAATACAGGAAATCGAAAATGATGAATAAAGAAAACAAAATCAATAAATAAACAAAAAGAAATAATTAAATAAAGAAAACGAAGTTATTAAATAATAATAAAAAAAAAAAAACAACGAAATTATTAAACAAAGAAAATAAAATCAATAAATAAAAAAGGAAATATTAAAAAAAGAAAACGAAGTTATTGAATAAAACCAAATGAAATTATAAAATACAGACAATGAGCACATGGCAGGTGTGACCGGTCGGCATGGGATGCTCACTCCTTCATGGTACCTGATCCCACCTCTGATGTTTTGGATGTCCGCATTTGCCCTTCTCTTATTTTGTTTTGTTTTAGGCCTTTCGACTTTGATATTGAATACTGTTCGTTATCTTCGTATCCTTCATTACATAAATAAAAGGAAATTATAAAGTAAAGAAAACGAAAACGACTTTTCTTCCCTAGATTTTTAGAAGCTTTTAATCGGAGACTATTTAATAGATAAATAATTAAATGAAACATTCCATTTATTTTCTATAAGGATATTTTAGGAAAAAAAGTCCGTAAGGGTAACTTTGAAATGTATCTTTGTGAAAAACATGTTGAGTTTAACTTTCCTATCGTCAACGTCCATTGTATATGTCACAATCAACCTTTATAAATGTAACCTACACATCGAATTTATGTCTCCCTGATTCTCCTATCCAAGCGCAAGCTCTACCTTCAAATATTATCTTAAACGAGGCAGGCTATTTTCAAGAAAATGGATAAAACAGGGATATCTATGGAACGCGGTAACTGCCTTATGTGGAGAACTTTCATGTAGCATATAATGACAAAGTAGTAGCATATAATGATAAACTAGTAGCTTAATGAAACGTAGAAGCATATAATGACAAAGTACTAGCATGTAACGAAAAGTAGTTGCATATAATGACAAAGAAGTAGCATATAATGACAAAGTAGTAGCATATAATGATAAAGTAGTAGCATATAATGACAAAGTAGTAGCATGATGACAAAGTACCAGCATTTAATGAAAGTTTTCCACATAAGGCAGTTACGGCGTTCCATAGGTATCAATAGTTTTGCTTAGAGTAATTTTTAAAGTTAAAATCATGGTCGATGCATGATTTTGTCAAACAATGATAACGTATTATCATATTTGCTCGACCATGGTAATGGTATGATCCTGAAATCACGAGGGGCATTACTAGTCGACAGGGGATGATTGCTACCCTTTTGTGCCTCACCCCTCCTTTCATGATTACTGTAAACCAACTTTTATTCGCGTGCGAGAAATTTTCGCAAAGTCGGCGATAGCCTCGGAATCGCGAATATCTCTCGCCGGGAACCGGTCCTTAAAGCCTCAGTATCTATTTACATGTACAACTGATGAAAAAATGCTTGATCGCGAAAATTAATCCTCGCGAACTAGTTTTACCCTGGTAAATCGCGAAATAAATTCGCCGCAAACAAAAGTTGGTGTACAGTAAGATGCCCGTGTTTGCTCTAATCCCGTTTTGTTTAATTTCAATGGGTTTGAGCTTCATTGCTGTCTTATGATTCTATACTGCTGTCTTATAACTCTATACATGTACTCCATGTTCAGGAGTCTCAAAACGTTTTCAAGAAACTCTATGTTACTTCTGAGTTTTTATCTGGCAATATCAATTCTTTGATTTACAAATAAGAACCCCTATCGTGTGATTCTTGCAAGAATATCCAGATTGATATCAAAAGCTATTGTTATATTATAATAACGCTGTGCAGGACATAATTTGCATACAGGAAAAATCTAGAAAGAGAGATATAGGTTCTAAAACTTGAGAAAGTTATTCAGTTTTACGACATTTAAGTCCTTGCCGTGCGCCTACTTTTTGCTATTCTATAAGTTAACTGTTTTCACATTAAAATGAAATTCAAACAAGATATTACTTTTCAAAAAGCTTGCTAGACTTAAGCAATCCATATGTATATAGAACATGAAACATCACGAATATTTTTAAGAACAATTTGTTGCACAACTCATCAATGAATAAAAGTGATAGTATTTGTATGCATACATTTATTTTTTTTTAGCTGAAGAAACACCCAGATAACTTAAATGTACAGTGATGAGAATAACATTTGAAAGGCCTTAAACAAGAAATAAATAATAAGATTTTATGAAAGATAAAATCATTTAAATTATCACACTATATAAAGTAATATATACATTTGTGGTATCTTTCCACTATATAAACATACAGAGAGAAAATATCTTCAATTCTGTATGAAGTTTATCAGAGGTCAGAGGTCAATACATGGCCGAATCACACGGTGCAATAATATCTACCGTTAGTTATCAATATGAAATGACTTGATTTTCATGTACAAAAATGAACAAAATAAGCAAGTGAAATAATTGTATTATTTACAAAGTGAACAAGTGCTTTATACATTTTTTGGCGATCGATTTCACCTGTGTACATAGAGAATATATCAATAGAAACTAGCCTTTGTTTACAAGTTGTATGCCACTTTTGTTAGCTGCACAGTCTCTAACTTCTTAGTTTTATCCTTATTTTTGTTAGACCTTTAAGTTACATCTTCATGATATAGGCTAAAACTATATTTTTCCACTCAATTCTACTCACGATAAATGTGTAAATCTGTAGGAAAATATCAAAGCATTGAAATCACGCCACGAACAGCTGAGAAACACCTCGATCGGCGCTGTCGTACTTCAGTGTAAACTGTCACCAGTTTCTCCGTGTTAACATCATAAATATGCCTTTAGTTACTGAAATCGTAGATTAAGTATTTTTGATCAAATTTAATACTTGATTGCAAATTAACTGGCTCGGACAAGTGTCTCAATCCAGCGGATCCATCCATCCCTTTGAGGCGACCGAAATTCCTCCAACTTTTTATCGTCAAACTTCGGAGGTGTTTCTTGTGTCTTTTCAGCATTAATGATCAATTTTCACAAATAAAAATATTCCCAGACAAGAAACTGTTCACTATTACTAATAACAAGTAGCCTTTTACAAAATAACTATTAATTTTGTTATATTTTCACAAGATTTTGACATTTTGGTACGAAAGGAAACATACTGTAGGCAACAAACATTAGTGAATCGACTAAGGCAGCTTGAAAAGAAACAACAATTATTAGGATAATAATTGTATTTATGTATTTAATGCGATAATTTGTTAGGAGGTTTCCGAAAACATTTAGGTTGGTAAATTGTAAAAACTCTCAGATCCACGCCTTGCCTGATGGATTAATTGTAATGGAAGGTGTAATGTCACGTGGTCAGCTCAGCGAGTCATTCATACTCGCGCGCTCACCTTCGCTAACATGAAGCACGTCTATTTTGAAGACCCACCTCCACCCCAGCATTCCTATCCCTTAATATGATGATTAATGTGCCTTGTAAATTTATATTTTATTATAGTTTTTACTCAATTGCTTTACTTCTTCTGTGTATTTTGTTTTAATTACGATCTTTTTGCAAGCTTTTTCTTCTAAGGTTTTGATTGTCTTTTGATTGTTCCATCCTTTTGCCCACTTTTTCTTATGTTGTTTGCCTATTTTGTTTTGATGTGCCATCGTTTTGCTAACTTTTTCATATGATGTTGATTGTCTTGTCTTACAGATACTTTTTTCTAGAAATTTTTGGGGGATCAGACATTATCATATTTTACGTAACTGATAAGCAAAGCTTGTGAATCTGATCCACTTCTTGTTTGTTAAATTGATCACATTTATACCGTCATTTTAATAAATGACATTATTCATCTACATGAAAGTGTTTTATTTGATTTTTACAAAATTAGGAAAAACAAGCCGCGGTGATCTTGCCTATAAGCATAAGAAGACATAAAGAATAATGAGTATGTAAGATTTAAAAAAAAATAATATGCTAAGATATATTTGCCAAATATGCTTACCTAAAAAAATAAAATGGAAATTTTAGTTTGACTTCTTTTAAATTGTTTAGAGTTACATGTATGCAAGGTAGAATTTTTAATTTGGTTAAGCAAATAATATCATTTAGATATGATATTTACGGTAACAATTTTGAAACATCAGAAGCACATTTCGACAAATTGTCTCTTCAGTGAAATTCCAGCCGGGGCTTTGAAAAGCCAAAATATTCAAATAAAAAAAAGAGGAGCTGCAAAAAGTGTCAAATACGTCAAAGAATGAGATCTATGCTAACGGGAGATAATCCTTTAATCCTTTATTTTGAAGAGAATTTCTAACTTTTACCACAACATATAAATATACATATCGAGTTTTTAAGGTAGTTCAGAAATATTTTTATTATTCTATATTGAATTATACTTATTTTACTCAATTAAGGAAGATGCACTAGTAAAATTGCTACAGAATAAGCTAAACAATATACAGTAGCCCATATGAATGTTTTTTAAAGAGCTGTTGTGGCCGATCAGCAAGGGATGCTCATTCCTCCATGGTCCCTGATCCCACTTCTGATCTTTAAGGGATTTCTTGTTTTCTCTACTATTAATTTGTGATGTTCAATGGACTTCTAAGCTTGAATTTTTTTTATCTCCACATATTTAAGATATTTCTTCTACGATAATTCACCAATGTGGTACTACATCTTTCTTGAATGAAATTCAAGTGTCATGTTTCACATGATTGTCTCATAAGGAAATGTTTTTGTTGTGGTGCTGGAATACTTTATTCTTTCAACAATTTCATTTTCATTAGATCGCTCATGGATCTAAGGTATTATCTGTACTATTTAAAGAATCTTTAGGTAAACTTGGTGTCTTTGAAATTAAAGATCGCAGACCTCCAAAACATAACAGATTGGAGGAATGAGCATCCCCTGTCGACCAGTCACACACAACCATAAACAACAAACAACAACTGTTAAGTTTTGTTAATAAAATATATTCAGACGCCCGAGGATGAATGTTACACACTGAAATAGCCAATGTCAATATGTTTCTATTTATAGTAATGTACAATGGTGTCTCAAACCCAGGAAGAAGAGCCGAAGCACCCTAAAATATAAACAAAAACAAATTTAAATATTTCGTGCTTTTAAGACAATATAACTTATTTTTTATCTTTGTTATTTTTTTAACAAAATATTTTTTTTTAAAGATTTAGAATTGGTTGGATCTAGGTTATCAGATTAAATAAAATTATTATGCTGATGAATATATTTGCATATAATCGACCTATTTTGAAGAAATTGGTATTGAAAACAATTGTAAAGTGAAAGGGAAAGTAAATCTTACCGACGGCTCGGAGATCAGAGCCTTATTAAGCTGTAAAAAAATTAAAAGAAAAATAAGAATATAGGTCAACATAGGAAATAAAAAGAATACAAAATAGATGGAAAACTTTAGAATAAAAAAAAACGTTGCATTTTTTTTTACAAACTCAAGTATTGGGAAAATAAATGCTGAAAAATTCTTGGCTAACACATTAACATGTTTGAACAGCAAAAATCCATTTCATATAAAGATTGTTTGAATTGTTCCACAACCTGACACATATTTTCAAGAAAAAATGAAAACAAAAAATCAACACTGAAAACCGTGTGCAAAATGCAATAATTACAAGTGATTGTGCTTAATGCGTAGTGAAAACAATGGATGAAAGTTATTTGAATGTTTAAATGTCCCTCAACTCTAGAAAAATATCGCATAAATGTGTGATGTCAAAAATCACAAAAGAGCATATGCTTATTTACATCAAAAATGAGTATAACATGAAGGATCTAAGTAGATGAAAATAAGAAATATCTCTTTGTATAGTTTACTAATGCATATATTTGCATGGGAGTGGATAATCGTACACAGATTAATACAGGATTAAAGCTGAAAGAATTTAAGAATTCTTCCTATAAAGATATAATAAGTTTGAAGCCTTGGTGAATATTAAGGTCTGATAAAGGACAGCTTTTTACAGAGGTTTTTTACCGTTATACCGGAATATTGATGTCACCTAAAAAAGTTGCAACTTTATTTGTTACATAAAAAGTATAATTGAAAAATGATGATTTCTGTTAAGTGTAAAAGTGGTGGGGAAAACAAGATGAAAGAGATACCTGCATACATGTAAAAGTTGTTGAAAATGAAGCGGACATAAATGAAGCAGAAAATGTTGAGAATAGAAAGTAGAAAGTGAAAATAGAAAGTTGGGTGTCAGCGAACAAGATGTGCAGCAGATGGACATAGCGCAGTGCAACTGTGGGCCAGATCAGTATCAAACTCCTGGTTATCAGTTGTGCTTTGTTTTAAAAACGAAAAAGTGAAAAATAGCGCATGTGCTGGCATTCTAGTTTTTCATTCGAAATCACGTGAGCGGCTTTTTAAAACCTTGGCAACAATCAATCTTACCATATTTGTTGACATCTAGAGAAATACACGAATAATGATTAAAGTTTCTTCTTTAGAGACCGGGTGATTAAGAATTTGAATTCTATTTCATTCGTTGTCTTAATTTACAATAGCTTACCATAATTGTCACCATATGCTAAATTGTTGGCTAACTGTAAATCAGAATGTAATGAATCTCCAATGTTATTAGCGTGACCCTGGGAATGGGCTAAACTCTGAGCTTGAGCTAGGGCAAAGTTCTGAGCTTGGGCAAAAACCTGAGCTTGAGCCTGAGCCTGGGCTTGGGCTTGCGCTTGCGCACTGCTTATGTCACCACCAAAAAAGGGGGCATCAATGGCCCCATGGCCACCAATACCGGCATCGAAATGACCACCTTGGTTCACAAAGCCAAGGCCAAGTTGCCCAGCAGAAACTCCAGCAGAAGCAGCGGCCGAGGCACCAGCATTGACCCCGAAGGCGCCTCCGTTTGCAGCCCCGACCCCTATAGGGCCTCTGGCTGCAGCTCCGATTAAGCCTCCTGCAGAGGCACTAGCTACAGCGACGTCATTATCGGAATCATCTAATTTGAGGAGACATGAATATTGAAGAGAAATGAATATTGAAGAGAAATGAATATTGAAGAGAAATGAAAGAAGAAGTAAAATCAGATCAGAAATAAAAGAATGAATGAGGTTATGTTGCCTTAAGCAGAAGGGAAGGTGATGAAAATGAGGAATTATCAAATTTTATGGAAATTCCTTATAACGTTTTAGATAAAAAAAAAGAAGAGATAAATATAGAAATAAAATATAAAAATCCATAAAATTTTATTATACTTGAAGCCAATATTCCTATAAAGTTTTTATCCATTGTAAAAAGTGCAATACGGACTTCTGATATGTTTGTTTTTCATATTTTACTCATCAGGTATTTTCTAATGAAAAAAAACTTTTAGTTTAGATGATTGTCAATAATAATTGATTCAAAGAATGGGTAACAGATGATAATTTAAAATTCATGTTTTCTAAAATTGGATGTAAACGTACCATAGTTAGGGCCATAACCACCGCCATCTGAAAGATAATGAAAAAAATCAAATAGACAAGTTTTAAAGCGATCATATACCATATGATACAATTTCTTTATAACGAAAAATCGAAACGATCTATGATAGACAGGAAAAACAAACCAAGAAAGCAATGTCTACTGCATGCAGGAAAATGGGAAAAAATCATAGGGCTAAGATTGATACATACAGAAAAACAAAATATATAAAAGCGGGAAATAAACATTGCTCGAAGAAATACATGGGTGTATCAATGATGAGTTGAAGACTGCAACTGGACATTTGCGTCCAAAAAAGAAAAGTGCAGAGGTAGTTACATATGTGCATATATACATGGATTGTTCAAGGATAAAAGCTTCATTACACTTGATAACATATATAAGTAGTTATTTGATCCAGTATTAATCTGCATTCCCAGTCGATATAGATTATAGAATGCAATTGTTCAATATATTCAATTGTCGGTGAGGAATAGTATACGCTCATTCTAAACCATCCGTTATCCTGGAAACTGTGAACCACAAACCATTATAGATAAAAGCATGTCCTGGAATTGAAATTTGAAAGCAAACCATATATAAACCATGTGCATTGATAATCACAAAAGTCAATGAAGGAGGAAGAAAGGGAAGGAAAAGCTGAACAGCCTAACTGTTGGAAATATATCTTATATATTTGTGTACAAAGATAATATGCATTAAGGATACATATATATCACCTGGAGGCTTGGATATAATGTTCTGGAAAGTAGCTGCTGTGGGTACATTGGGATTTGTGATTCAACCTTACCAGTCCTAATAATTCGTCCTTGGACGTCTCCGCCCACCAGTATAGGAATTGACCTCCTCTCCTGGTATACAATGTCTCCTCCACCACCACCGGATGTGGTAGTTCTGGTCCTCTCAATGAGGTCAGCAGAACCAGCCCCGCCCCCGAATCCATCAGCTCGAAGTTCTAATGAGTTTCCAAAACCTGACTGTAAGTCTCCATATATACCACCGGCTCCATCAATACCAGAATATAAACCATCGACGCCACCGAAACCTGAGTCTATATCAGTATATATACCGCCGGGACCATCGAAACCTGGCCCTACATCAGAATATATACCGCTTGCACCACCAATACCTGACTGAACATCAGCATATATACCACCGTCCCTAGCAAATCCAGGACCTCCGGGAAGGTATGGTTCTGTTGGAATTGGCAAAACTGATGGTCGACTAGAAACAGAGCTCTCAATAAATGTGGGACCTACACCAGGCCCAACATTAGGTGCTAGATCAGGTAAATCAGGTCCGTACAATTCTCCTTCTATTACGTCACCCCGGACAATAGGGCCAGTATTTCCCACTACAGTAGTGCGGATGTCCTGACGGACAATGGGGGCTGACGGACCAACTGTAACCTTACGGACTTTCTTGATTACTGGAACCATTCCTACGGATTCATCAACAACGGTGCGTACTCCACCACCAACTGCTACCGAACCATCTACAACTCCTACTGAGTCAGAGAAGCCTGATCCGCCTACAAAGACGTCGTCAAGATGGGCAGCACCAGACCCAGCTACTCCTCCAACACCTACTGAGTCTGTAACGACAGAGCTAGCAGAAGCAAAACTTCCACAATCTACACCATCCGGGCCACATCCCTCTGCTGTAATTCAAGCGGCAAGTTCAAAGGTCAAAGTTTGAAAAAATTCAACTTCGGGATAATTACAAAAGAACAAAATAGGTAAACAAATTAATTCAGAGACACAAACATGAAAAAGAAAATCAGGCGAGGGATTTAAAAAAGAACAAATAGGTTATAAAGTTCAAACAGGGATACAAGATTGGCTGAAAGGTGACTGAAAAGACATTGACAAAAATATATATAAACCAAACACCAAACATGAAAAAAGATTGCATGCATTGAACAGTTACATAAAACATGTAAAGACCTTAAAAGGAAGTAAAAGTTTTTACAAAAGTAGAACAAGTTGCCATCACCATTATCAGGACAGATCATTTGTATATAAAAGATCCGTTATATGATTATGAGTGAATTTCCCCACACAAATATGTAAAATACATATTGAATTTATTCAGGGTTCGCAGATAGAGGGTAATAGTAAATTATTCAAAATATATTGTACAAATATTATTAAAATGTTTCAAGAAAAGTAAAAGTTGAAGTATTATTCAATATAGACAATGAAAGAATACATTACACGAAAATCTTTCTATTACTTATTATAAGAAACCATTAAAAATTTCTTGATTTTGGATAATAAGGAAGAGTCTAGATACTTACGTTTCACTGGTACGGGAACAATTTCAGTCAATGTTGTCTTTCCTTTAATTAAAAAAAAGAGAAATGAGTTGATATTTTCAATTTTTAGATAACAGCTATTTGTATTTTATATGCTTTTTAATAAATTAGCATTCTTCCATTGTATTTGATCAAGGAAGAATATCAACTTACTTGGAATGCCGACCTTCTTTACAACAGTGACTGAAAAGGCAAATCAAGTGTTAAATTTAACATATAAAAAATACGTTATGTAAAAAAATAAATTTCACAATTTTTATTCAAATGATAAAAAAATAAAATAAGGTAATTTTTTTGCTTTAAGATTTAAAATTTCATATTTAAAAAATGCACATTTTTTTTAAAAAGAAGAAAAAAAAGACAAAAAAATGTATTATTCATCTGAAAATAAACGCTTTTCCTGCAGCTTAAAAGCCTGTTCTACTTAGAGCTTGATGTACATGTTTACATCTGATAATTCGTCATCAGCATTTTCTCTTACCATCAATAGGAACTGAAAAGAATAAAAGACATGAATGAAACAAAAATAAAGAATGATGTCTGCATAGCTTTAACGAATTAGTTTTCTTTGTGAAAGTCAAGTGAATTTGAAAATATTTTTGTTAAATCTTAGTACGATTTGTAAGAAAATTGCTAATTGTATTACTAAATGTGAAAACTGACCTTTCTGGACCTCCTGTGTTCTTTTTATATTGACACCTGTCAAAAAAGAGATAAATTATATTTTCAAAGCAAATTTAAGACAGCAATAGACATTCCTTAATTTTTGCTATGTAATTACATTTAATATCATATATCCTTTAACATTTCACAATAATTTCACAATTCATGATTTCTTTAATCTTTTTTAGAATTTCTATTTACTTGATGTGAAATTTTGCAATTGGTAATTTCGTAACCTTCAATTGTGCTATGTATTTTAGATTATTTATCAAGTTGCCAGTGGCAATACTCACGTGGGACGGGTACGCGCACCTCAATGGGAACATCAATCTTTCTGTGGTGGACCTTCTGTACCTTGACTATTATAATAATAGAAATGATTTAAATTTCAATATAAGAATATCGAATAATACTATGACTTTGATAATACGATAATCGATTTATAATACGATCGACCTATTAAAAGTCGTTCTTATGTATTATATATTTAATGCGTTTTGTCATTTTCAGGAATAAATTATTTTTCTTCTCATATATTCAGAATAAGGTTTGTTAAGTGCTCGATATTTTTTTACTCACAGGGTTGTGGTACTTGAACTGAAAAAGAAGAAATAAATGATCAATGAGATATAAATTGACATCAGTCAATGAGAATGATTAAAAATCAAGAAATATACATCTTGTGGAATCTATGATTTTAGCACCAAATAATGGTAAACTTACCAACTTTAACTTTGTCTTTGTATACTTTGTGTGGGACATCGACTGAAAAAAATATTTTAAAGAAATTAGTTTCAGATGATTTATCTGGAACCTCGTATTTTAATCCATTATATTTTTCATAAAACTCATTTTCTTAACCTATATACTTTGTTTTGGAAATAAAAAAGGATAGTATTGAAATTATATGAGGTAAAAATAGATTTTATTTTAAATACTTACCAACTCTATTCAGCACCTTTGTGACTGTAAACAAAAATAAATAAATATAAATTCATAAAATTAAATTGATTTTAAGCAATGCGTTATTCAAACAGCATTTCTCTCTTGAAAAAGCTTTCAGTAAAAGTATCCGAGTGATTTCTTTCTACGCTGGCTTATTATCACCCCCCCCCCCCCCCCCCCCCCCCCGAAACTCCCAAAATCCCAAATGACGAAGAAACACCTATTAAAACACTGATTTGTAGCATAAAGGTAGTAGTACATTTAGGCTGTTCCTACCGATTTTGTGCTTGTGTTTTAAAACTAGTAGTACATTAAGGTTGTCTGAGCCGATTTTGTGGTTGTTTCAGTATTTTACGGTAGTAGAACATTGAGGTTGTTTGTACAAATTCTGTGTTTGTTTTCTGTTTTGGTTTTAAGATAGTAGTAGTTTAAGGTTGTTTGGGCCGATTTTTTGTCTTTGTTTCGTGTTTTTTGTTATAAGGATGTAGTGATTTAAGATTGTCTTTACCGATTTTGTGTTTGACGACGGGGTATGGGCGTGGGACCTTGATGATCTTCTTCACAGTTTTCGTGTGCCAGACATCATCTAAAAAGAAATAAAAAAAAAATCATCCCACCTGCCTTAAAACAGTTAAATTGTTAACTGTAAAATAACATTTAAAAGGATTCACTTTTATGGATAATCATTAAAAGGAGAACAGAAAACTTTGGTGATTTACTTGTATTTGTCAGTACTCTTTAAAAGGAATGTGGACAAGTGGAAACTTTTACGAATATAAAAAAATCGTTCACTTCCTCAACGTCTCTAAATTGTCAAAGTTCTAACTTTTTATTGTAAATATAACATGTTTTTGAATGAATTGTTTTGTATGCTTTAATAAGTTAAAGCTGGAGTTTGTGACGCTTTTTTCACTGCTTTGGTGTTTGACATAAGGTTTCTAATGGATTTGTATTTTTTACAAATATTTGATGACTGTATATATAATGTTTCTTTCTTGTACTTACATGGCCTCTTGCGGTAATTAACTCTGACCTCTGAAAAGAAACAAAAAGAAAATAGGCTTTATTTATTTGTAATAACAATATTTATCATTCAAAATTACATTTGAACAACTGTTAAGTCAAACTTTTCTTTGCCCAAACAAATCTGTTTATAGTTAGCTTTTATTTGGAAATAAAACACATGAATGGCTGTGACTGTTTTACCTGAAAATCAATTTGTGCATGTTCATTCATCTATGTGAATGTTTACCTTTCATGACTTATAAAAAATTCTGTTACAGACTTAAAATTAAGGTGAATTAAATATATGGAGATAATGAACAGTTTCCAATCTCAAAAGTCATTAAAACAATAAAAATTTTGAGCAGAGCAATTACGGACCTCAAATTATAAGAGGTGGGATCAAGTGCCATTGAGGAGTAAGCATCCCTTGTCAAACGGTCACACCGTGTGCTCCTTGTCATGATCAGAAGAAATTGTCGACAATTCAGTGTGGAAATAATAGCCTTATAATTAAAATGAAAAACGTCAGTCAGCATTTCACTTGATGATCAACTGTATCTGCTGACAACGTCGTTGTATGAACCATAGAAATGACCAAATAAAAAACTTACGTGGTACGTGTTTAATATGGGGCTGCAACAGAGTCTTCTTAACATCGATGGGGAATCTACGAATATGTGGCTGCTTCAAAATCACTAAAAAAGGATAGAAAAAGACAATCAAAGTTACTTAAATCAATTTTTTTTTGCCGATTTCAATTAATTTTTGGTACGATTTGTAGTCCATTAAAAAAGTGTGTTTACTTACATTTCTTTTCGACGATAACCGGCACTGTGAAAGAAAAATAAAGAAAAATCAAAGTCATATAAAAGGTTTTTTTTCGTATACACAGGGTCCTAACTAAGCAATTATTAGCCTTGACATTATTTTACTACTTTGATATGATAAAATCATAATCAAATCTCTAATAAAATGAAAAATTACTAAAAAAGGTATCTTGCATATATATATTAAAAAAAAACTGATTTGAAGTGTATCATATCTTCTGAAAAAAAAAGAGAAAATCTGGCCATTTTTTTATTCCCTGAGAGCCTACCTTCACGAAGGATGTCCCTTGGTACATTAATTTGTTTGACGACTGTCTGTCTGATGGGAACATGTTGGATTACTTGTTCTGTAAGGAGGGATTAAGAATGTTATTTAATCAAATATACAATCAGCATTTAATAATATTTAAGAAACACTGACACCTCGTCTTTAAATTTTTTTTTATTTCTTTCATTTTGTCATTTTTAGATCTTAAAAATCAACTTTAATTGAGTGTACAGTTAGATTTTAAGAATGCCAGGTTCATTGAAATTGTTATTGAAAATGCGAAAAATCTTTTTTTCTTACTGGGATGTTCTTGAAGGGCGGGCACGTGTCGAACTTGTGGCTTAGGAGCGGCTAGAAAGAAAAAGAAAGGTAAGAATTAGGTTTTCAAAGTATTCAAAATTAAGAATCACTGTAACAAAAACGAACATAATAGAAATAGAACAAAATGAATAAAATTTGTTTTAACAGAAGTTTATCTCTTTCTTTGTATGTCTTGAAATAAATATATGTCATATCAATTCCTAATAATTAATATTTCTGAATAAGAGAAGGTTGTTGTTTTCAGTTTCCACTGCGGAATTTCTTTCAATTCTACGTATGATCGAAACACCTCCATTCTTTACACTCAATCACTAGTGTGAGAAAGAAGATATAAAGAAATCCTGTACTTACGAACATGGATGACTGAAAAAGACAAAAAGGTAGAAATGAACAAATAAAAGAGACATCTACCTTTTCAAAACAATTCATATAATGTTTAAGATAACTTATCATTTCGAATTAAAAAAAAAATTTAAATTTTACAAAAGATACTTACTCTCTGTGTGTTTTCTTACAGGTGGCAATGGATCTGTCAAATAAAGGTAATTTGGATTAAAAGATAAATAAATTAATTAACCATCGATTAATTAAGTTGGCAATGAGGCGACAACACCTATTGAAATCGGAACGTTACATAGTCAGTTCAATTATACGTGTAGTCTCATGTTTTCTTTTTCTTTTTTTTTTTTTGGGGGGGGGGGGGTGGGGTTTAAACGTATATTCCAAATTTAAAAATTAAATTAACTACAGTAGCATTATTGTTAAAATTGGATTGGTTTTATTTTTTTTTTTATTTTTTTTTGCTTAATATGAATTTAAACTGCAGTGGATCCCCCCTCTCTCCCTGTGTGTATGCTTACCTCCAATGGCGAGGCCTGTAAAAATAAAACAAAAAAATCTTTATTTAATTTACACGTATGCTGTAAAGATATCCATTTACTATATTCTTCAATAACCAATCTTTATTGTTAAACATATATTAATACATTCATATTTTATTTTAAAAATAATAAAACAAAAGTTTATACTCCCTATCTATTTAAAACATAAGTTTTAATGAGTAGAAGTACAAAAAAAAAGAAGTTTCGTAATTTTCATTTGATGATTTACTCTATTTCGCAGTCAAAACAGATCCCAAAATATCACTAATTGTCAAATAAATATAAAAGGTAACATTTAAAAAAAATACTAAGTCCAATCGAAATTGACCGCAATCTTTCAAAAAAAAAAGTTATTCAGTACAAGTCAATCAGACAAAAATTATTTATTGCCCATCAGGTAACGTATACCTTGTACTTAATGCTTTGCATAATTACATGTCTGAAATTACATGCCTTAACAATTGATGTTTCTAACAAGAGGTCATTCGTAACAAAGCGTTTGATGTTAATAAAAAAACATAACGACGTCTTGTACGAAATTCCTCGATTGCAGAATTGAAACCTCCCCTTTGTCTTAAGTACTTGTAAACAAGCGCATTACCATGTTTTCGTCCAGCAGTTACAAAGGCACCTCTTACATCAATTAGACAAACCCATCAATTTAATTTTTCGCTAGGGGGCGCTGTCTGGTTGAACTAGCGGTTTTCTACCTTCGTCTGCTTTTGGTGTGTGAAAAATCACACGTGATGGAATTAGATGTTAAAGCAATAAACAAATCATGATTTAAACGGAAATTGACCACAAAAAGATGTAAAAACGAGGAATATTTGTGTTTCCGCCTGTTCTTTAGCAGATTTCAAATGAAGATTACAAGATTTCATGAGTCAAATATTTCTTTCAAAATCTCGTTTGTTGAATTGAATTTAACATCAAATAGACATCAGTAATGAATCGGCACAGTGAACTCTACATTAGTAGAAATAAAAATGAGGAAATGCGTAATTGATGCAAATCTAATGCTTCAATGGTTTTTGTTTTTCCGTTTCCTTTTTGGATGAAAAAGCAGAACATTTTTGTTTCCACGAAAAAAAAAAATGTACAACTTTATAAACGTATTCACTTTTAACTAAAGGTATTTATTAGACACAAGAGTAGAAAGGTGGGAGGGTCTTTCATTCTGGACTTTTTATTAGTTTAAGACAAACACTTAATGTCATTGATCTTAAATGTACAAGAAAAAGCGTTTAAAAGAACATGATGACATTGTCATTTATTAGAAATACAAAATTCATTTGAAGTAAAGCTTCAATTTATTTTTCTAATAAGGCAAGAAGTATATGACTGGGTGTAACTAATTGCAAAGAACACCAGTTTGAATATAGATATCAAATTTATGAGAGAAAATAGATTTTGAAAAGGTATCGGCCAAACCAGAATTTAAAGGTTTTGAAGATTTTTGGTTTAAATCATAAAGCTTTTTACACCTTTGAAAGGCATATTTATCCAGGTAACTGTGATTAAATTAAAAAAAAAATGAAAAAAATATCAAATCTATTTACTGGAGAAATTTATATCCCCCAAATATACAATCATCAATACAAAAATAATTTACAGAAAAATTCAACGAGACACACCACAACCAATGTAACAAACAGTCCATATGAGGCCATCGATAACTATTCATGCGTGGCCAGTATTAGCAGAATGCCGAGTCCGACATGATTTATAGGCCCAAGTGTTGCAGTTGTCAACATTCCTACAACTGAAGCTTCAAAACGGCCGGACCACAATCTATGTGACGGTTTAATAGCTATGTTAAAGACATCCAGGTATTTTATGTTATGATGTTAGACCACGGTCCGAATAAAAAATAACCCTACGGCCTTCGGACTTCAACCAAACGGGCTGCATAATCAGCAATTAATGAAAGGGTATAATACACTGCGCCACATTGAATTGAGAATGACCTAATTTTTCTCCCAAACTGAATTATTATTGTAATACATGTATTTTAATAAAAGTACTTCATACTATTTCAAATAAAATATATTTTCTAATCTTTAAACTTAAATGTAACACTGAGCAAAAATTTAAATTTAAATGACATACAATCCTAAAGGGTAGGTTAAATTTACATCTGTACATTTAATTTTGATTCATGAAGTCACTTTTCTGAACAATATTAACACTGAAAGAATGCATATTTTTTTCTGCATTCAAAAGGGTATTTTCATTTTATTTTTAAATTTTGAAAATGAAAATAAAACTAGCTCTTAACACTTACCCATAAGAGCCGAGAGGAATAATACAGCCAGCATCGTCCGAGTTTTGTGACAATGCGCGCTCAAGTCCTTTTCAAATGCTCCCGTCTAGCACAAATTATTACAGAGGAAAGTATATATACCGAGTCATTAAATTCCCAGCATGACCTATCGGAGGCCACAGATATGCGATATTTCCTTTAGGACTGTCAATCAAAACATTTCCTGTCACGCCTACATCATTATGAAAATTAGGGGGCGTGACTGGATATGATAATGGCAAGATTTCGTGCTGGAGTCATTTACATATTCTTACATTAGTTGTTTAAATGGTGAATATATTCATATTATTAGCGAAAATGTAAGACAGGAATATTTTACTTCGTTTATTTGATTGAGTACTGGATTTTTGTTTTCAAGAATGTGATACTTAACTAGTGTTTTTGCTATTTTATGTGTATTTGCCATTGTTCTTAGTTCCCCCTAAGGCGCCTCTCTTGCGTGATTATTGATGTTAATTACGTTCAACCGAGAAAAATGACAGGCAAGCTGTCAAGATAATATTACAGTTAATCGAAAGGTCTGGAAATTTCGATTGGACATAATATATCGGAGAAAAAGGTTATATCTTTTCCAAGAGCAAATGTTAAAATGAATCATAGAACTGTTCATCTCTTTCTTGGAAATAAACCACACGTTTACAATGAAAAAGAAATCGTGTAACTTGTGGTTGAATGGAGTTTTATATTACAAACTTTGGTTTATTATTAATTGTTCAATTTCTTCTTACTCTGCCTTTGGGATCAAAAAGACACAAGACTAGAGGCTGCCGACACATTGCTTTGCATATGCAAAAAAGAAACATGTTTGCTGAGAATAAGTGTTTATTGAAAATATAATTTTACACACAGGATATTTGTAGCGAGAGATTCATATTTTGGGACTTGTCTTCATACCGATTCATGTGTTTCAGAGGAAAACATAAAATGATTTTTATTTATGTACATGTTAACTTTCTTATGAATAATTTTCTGATAAATAGGAAAATATAGCGTAAAGCTATGTTGACCGATTACTTTTGTTAATTTTAGGAAGTCAGCAAACTTAAATCAATCATACGAATTAATGTTAACGTTTGTAAAAGTTAAAAAAGGTTAGTTGTACTGAATGTAGCTTAGATTTACGTAGAACGTTTAAATACTCTAATAGAAAAAGTCAAATATCTTACAGTTAATAACAATATTGCATGTCCCTTTTCAAGGAAAAATATCTAAAGTGCTAGAAAGTATCTTGATCAATCTTGAAATTGAAGACATTTTTTTCATAAATTTTATTGAAAAAAGTTTTGCTATGAATAACTTTGTATAGAAAAAATGAGGTGAAGAAAAACATCGCAATCAACGATCGTAGAGGAGCAAGAAATGATTTTTTTAAAAACAAATCGAAATTTTATTAATAAAACCCTTTGATGGGATATAAAGTATAGCCTAAAATCAAATGATCTCCGCATATTCTTATATTCTTTTATGTCAAGTATACCATGTTAATGAAGTGTGAAATGAAAATGCTTCTAGTTTCTTAATCCAGTGCACTAAATAGATGTTATTTTAATTGAAAGTACTGGAATGCTTGGGATAAGTTAAAAAAATTAAATACTCAAATTATGTTTAATTTTTTTTAAATGTAGATTTAGCCCCCTAATTTTCGGTCAAAAATATCAAACCACTGTTAAAGATTTTAAAATAAAACTTAGATCGAAATCAAAACGCACACATTTTATGTATCTCCAATGAAGTTATCAAGTTTCTTTCTCAACGGTCAATCAACCTTAAACTCTTTTTTATGCCATCACAATTCTTATTTTCCTTGGTGTCTCTCTTTCTTCAAGGGAACAACATCTGTTTGAAGGTTCTAGTTTTGAACTCGATATTTGATTGGCTGATCCGTCTTAATAAGTATAAATCTTCTGTCTTAATAAGTATAAAATCTTCTGCTCTGTTTTTTGCCAAAAATGATATCAACAAATATTTGAATTGAAAAGAGCAATTAGGTATATTTGGTCTCTTGTGACACAATTTGATGCTAAATAAGTGTTGGACTACTTCATTATGCAGTATACGCAGATAGTTAATGATTCAGTTTTTGGATTTTTACAAGTGATCATTATGCATGACAATGTTTATTGTCAGGGAGTATCAGATCATAAATTCTTCCATTATCTGAATCATAATTTACTGCGATGTTTCTGACGTTAAGTGTTTAAAGAACTGTGAGGACGAAATAATTGTAGATGGAACAATGAAAAATAGAGATAACGAACAGTACTCATACTCAAAAGCTCTTTATACAGATCAACAGACAGGGACCTCTAAGAATATGAGGGTTTGGATCATGTGCCAAGGACGAGTAAGCATATCCTGTCGACCGGTCAAACTGAGCAATTTTTTGAATGTTCCCAGTAAAAAATTATTCTTGACCAAAATAATGCCATTTAAAAAAGAAATTGGATGAATATTTCACTATCAATTCAGGAACACACGTTTTTTATACAAACTGTTTGACCATTCTTCTTCATCAAGACAATGCACACATCGCGGATAAGACCACTTGGCACCTCATGCTAACTCTGATGTATTAGGAGTCCGTTTTAGATTTGCTTCTGATTTGTATTGCTTGTGTAGACATTTGAGATTTAAACTGCCCGTTATTTCCATATCTTCCATGCTATACTCATCCTATATGAGCGTTAATTAAAAAAAATAAATAAAATGTTTGGACATTGATGAGTTCAATTGTTTTTTTTTTCAATACATTTTATGGAATAGACAACTTAAAAAAAATCAAAACCTGAAAGATATAGTGCACTACAAAAGACTCTGTTTTTATAAGATTTATTATATGCAAACATGTGTTTATTGCAAAATCTTCTTTAAAAGCCATCCTTTTACTATTTTCAAAATAATGATATTCTTTCACAGCGGTCAGCAGGAGATGCTCACTCCTCCATGTCTCCTGATCTCACCTCTGATGTTTTGGAGGCCCATGTTTGCTCTGCTCGTATTATGTATTGTTTTGTGGATACTGTTCGTTATCTCCATACGTTCCATATCCATATTTTTGAAAAAAAAACTGCATATATAGTGTCTACATGATACAATCCAAATTTTCCAATGTCCTTGCAAGATCTTATATTTGTATAATTAAGCATTCCAGGAATCTAAGGTTCATTTACTGGTTCTGTGATCAGCTGACGAAATCCAACATATTCATAAAATGATTCTTCTAGTAATACCTCTTCTATCTATTCTAACAGGGGATGCTCACTCGTCCTCCGATTTTTGGAGTTTCATGTTTGCTCTGTTCTATGTTGTATTGTTTTTATAGACTTTTGTTCTTGAGTACTGTGCGTTATCTCCATATGTTTCGTTAAGAAGAAAGATGCCATTCATATATATTTTTTGCATCCTATGTCTTCACACACGGATTAAACACTTTACTTTTTTTGGAAATGCATGAAGACTTTCTGAAATTTGAATGTTCTGCTCAAATTTGATAAAAAAAAAAGACGCTAAATCTTGAAACTTACTATCTTCAAAATAACCTCAATATAACAAAGGCGATTTTTTTCTTTACAATTTATTTAAAATGACATTTTAGCATTAGCTAAGTGCAGATTTTAAACAGAAAACCCTTCATAAACATTAATGTGCAAATAATGTCGAATTTCTCAGGTTCCTTCTAGTGTTTGTTTGAAAAAAAGAACTTAAATATTTCTATACTGCTACATGCATTTACAGTAAGTTTCTATATGTCTTTACAAACTTGATATTCTACTGGATATACACCTTTGTAACTTTCTAAAATTAGGAAATTCATTTTGTTATGCCTCAGCAATCATTTAATTTCGAAGTTGTTAAATGCAAGTGAACTGTTTTTATTTGCTTTGCAGCTCATATAAATCTTTCGTCCATACGTTTGTATTTTGGTGCATAATAATCAATCTGAAACAAATATAATTACTGTTATTTCAAAACGACAGATGATAGATGATGGTTTCTTTGCGACTTCAGAAAGGTGATAGAGTTTCATGTTGCTAAAGTACTTTTGTTGATTTATCAACACTATAATAAGAGGCTGACTTAGAAAAATTTCAATGTTCCTTCTTATTTTTATGGATATTCTATTTTGTGATGTGTCTCAGGATACAATCAAATGACTCTATTAGAAAGACAAAAGCACTTCTAGCTTGTTTAATGTATACGATGCAACTTGAAAAACATAACCAAGAAAAAAAAACCCACATTTTAAAAATAATTTGAACACATATTCTTCTAAGGAAGTGAGTGTAAATAGGAAATCTATAACAAAAAACAATAAATATGCTCAAAAGATAACTATAGCATACCAATTGAGAGTAGAGCATTGAGAAAAGAGACTCTTAGAAAAGTAGATATTTAGGTTTCATTGAAATAGAATTACTAGTATTTCCTATTGGTATGTAATACAAGCCGAATGATCGTTGATAACGAATGGTCAGGTATTAACGGATATATAATTTATAAAATGTAAAAACAAGTATTACAGATTTTATCTACAGGATTAATCTCCAGAGAGAGAGAGAGAGAGAGAGAAAGAGAGAGAGAGAGAGAGAGAGAGAGAGAGAGAGAGAGAGAGTCTTTCAATTTCTATTTACTGTATACAGGGTTTTTTCGCCCTATTATTTCGCCCTTTTACACTTGTTTACAAATTTGCTCCGTTTTAAATTCATCTAGTCCAAGTTTTGTTGAAGAATTAATACTGTATTGACTGGATTCGCCCCGTTTAAAATTTGCCCACTTGTAACAAGGGCGAAAGCGTAAAAAATAAAAGGAAGGGGGCGAAAATTTCCCTATATACAGTAGCAGTTAAAAAGCTGAAGTTTCCTCCTGTGATTAAGGCAACTTTACACAATTTTTTTCTGTTTGCTCTGCTTCCTATTTGATTTAGATTTTGAGCAAGATTAATGTGTTCATTATATATATATTATAACAGTAACTTGATCCGAAGGGTCGTATCACGTCGAGTTGACAGGCGCGGATCATCAGATCTTTACGAGACGCGAAGTGTCGAGTTTATATATGATCCACGGTCAATCAGAGAATGCGGCTCTTCAT